TCTTGTATTATTGTATTATTATAGTTGCATTAGGCCAAAATTCATTACTTACTGCATATATTGGAATAAAACCTTTTTTGCTGACCTATAGGCTGACAAGTTGCTTAAATTATGGCACTAACAATAAAATTTCGCAACGTGATTCTAAATTTATCCTTCTACAGTCAGTTTTCATCATCACTAGAATAACTTCATAAACATTTCGACACATCCGAAGAACAGAGTCCGATGTGATTATATAGCGAAAAAAGAATAAGCACGTTACGACAATAATTTCGTTATTCAAACTAAGGCCTACTGTAAGGTGTTTAGAGAATTTATATATCTTATTTCGTTTCGGAAATATAATATCGAACAACACTCGATCTGACATCCACTGCGAAGAAGAACGACCGAAACGTATTATGTCCTGAGAACAAGTAGTCTTGCACATAGATCTTTGTTCTACGGATGAGTCGATTTTGACTTTTTTTTATGATATCAAGCGAAGGAACGAACAAGTCGTGCGGCTGGTAGTAAGCGACAGCTACAGTGCCACTCAAAGCTTTAAATCGCAAAAATCTGAGTGGCACTGCCAAAGTCACGCTGAGACGTTGATTAGTTTTATGTGCCTGTAATTTTACCAGCACCCATACACTTTAAAACCGGAACGCAGTAATGCTCACATTACTGCTTGGCGGCAGAAATAAGTAAGATGGCAATACTTCCTTGGACGAACTCTCACAACGAGCTCTACTGCTACTAAACTGAATAATTTTGTTGGTAACTTAATATGTTTAATTGTGGAAATATAATTGATAAATAAGAGTAAAACTAACTCTATATAATACTGAGCCAAACAAAAGACAAAAGGCAGAATATAACCAGCAGCCTTGTCCCTCGGTAGCAATAATTATAAGGCAGTGTATTTCCGTAGCCATTCAAATCTGGACTGGCATGCAGAGGTCTCGGGTTCGATTCCCGGGCCGGGAGAAATATCTGTATGGCCAACATTTATTTCTCTCTTGCGTTTAGGTGTGTTTTGTCGTTGTCTATGTGTGTGTCCATAGCACCCGCGATACAGGGTTTCCCTAGTGCGGGGCTATGAGTGTTTGCGTTATACAGGCTGTATATTTGAAAGTGAGACATATTCATACATGTCATAGTAAATCATGTAACAACTTAACATAGACTAAAATAAAATTAGGATATGGGATAGAACAAAAAATAAATCAACAAATGTGTTTGGGGTGTACATAGGAATAAACCGATTCCCTTTACGCTTGATTTCGGGTGCAATGGAAATACTACCAAGCGAGCGCCGAGTGAGACAGCAACAATAACAATGATTTCACATCTCCCTTCCTACTTTTTCACGGGCTTAGGACCGACAAAGCACCTCATTTCTCTAGAAAATAAAAACTAAGTTGCTCACCTACTCATTTATGTTATGATGGAAAAAGCTGTTATCAACATGATTATGTTTTAGCTCATGTTAATTATTTTTTATTTGAACTATCATCGAAATGTTTTACGTACTAAAAAGATAAGTTCATGATTTAGTAACTAGTTAACATTTAATAAGAATTGAGGTTTTTGGCGTAGTTAAAAATGTGAATTCAAGTTATTTACAATGATTGATTTCGTTTTAGTTATTTACTGTTTATTTACATTTACGTGGTACAGAGCAATTGTTCAAAATGTCCACCGTTTTCCACAATGCATAGTCTAGGAGCACGGCAAGTAAATTTTGTTTTAAATTGTTCAACATAAACAAATTTTATCTCACAGTATAAAATGCTGAGATAATCCTCTCACGCAACACTTCGACACTGTTCACCTCCACGTAAACTCCGATTTGGGAACATTTGTCCGAACATTTCAATAGCTTGCCTCACACCATCACCACTTATTGCGTAAAGTCGCACTATCTCAGTCAATTCGATGTTAGAATAAATATCCATTTTGCGGCGATCGGGCGAGCGGAAGTACAAATAATTTACGTGTCTTCGTTAGACCAAGGTCGCGCGTGCACTGTCTCTGCAAACAGCAATTTCGCGAATGCGCCCGCACCACCATCCCCGACCTGTGCTTTGTTTTTCGCCGCCGTGCTAGAGAACAAAGCCATGCCGCCGCCCGCCGCTGCGTCGGAGCAATAATAGTGATGTGCATAGATTTCGATAACTAGTGTTGTTCACAAGTAGTAATCGATAAAAAAAAATAATTTAATTTTTATAAAGTTTAAGTTCATTAGTTTATTATTTCTTTGGGTTCAGAATCAGTAATACAACGCACTCTATAAGTATGTCTCACTTTCAAATATACAGCCTGTATATTATTATTTTTTACATCTAAAGTTTGTGTCAGTAGGAGTATTTAACAGAAACCGAAAAACGTAACGTTATACAAGTTTAAATCCTTGCAGAATTGAATGCAAAATCATGCTGATAAGGTTGAATTTGCAATGAAGTTTTTTTCAGTTATCTGTACATATTGATACTTTTTACTGGTACATTCTGACTTAGGCACATGCATCTTTTTATCAAAATACGTAGTACTGGAATGTTATCTCTTTCGGCCTATAGTTTTTAAGACGTGCCCACGTCTTAAAAACTATAGGCTAGACTATACTTTTTATTAGCATCATTTGTTAAGTTCGATGCTACGAGCTAATTCTGAGCGTAAATGTCCTCCATTATTTTCCATATTGGCAGTGGCCTTGGCCACCCAATTTTATTGCAAACAATAATGACAAATTTTTCAGGTACGTAGCGTTCGACGCTCTGGGCGATAAGTTAATAACCGGAATATCAATATGGGCAAGTTCCGGAGTGGCCAGTTCAATATTACAACACCACCCACCATTGGGACCTATGAGCAGTCAGAATCTCCGACGAGACGATTCAAATGACGGTCTCGGGGGAAACAGGACTCAAGAGAATCCTGGAACCGCACAAGACATGATCGTGAACTCGTACCAGAACCTGGTACAAAGATACGACAGCTTAGTAAGGAATTATCAGCGATTGTTTATGGTGCGACACCGTCTTACCAACACGCCACCTCCTCCGAGTACAGTAAGCATTTTATCCTTACCCTCAAATTGCCAAATTGAATTTTGACCGTGGCGATTGACTTGACAAATTGAGTTGAGTGGAGAAAAGTCGATAGCAGCGCCGTTTCAGGGGGTCTATTCTCGTTCTCTGTCAGAAACAATTACTGTCATTTAACAATCGAGTATTACTCATTTAAGCAATACTCAACCAAATTACAAGGCAATTGTCTTTTTCTCAAACATGCTCGGAAATGTTTGCATTACTTTCAAAAAACGAACACGGAATGTTTGTCATTAAGAACCATGCGCGAAAATTAGTGCTAGTGAAAAGAGCGATAACGAAAATCAGAAGTTCAGCAGACTACTATTAATATGCCTGGAAAAACAATAACATTTTCTTTTAGTAGTTGTATTGTATAAATTTTAATGTTAATTCATATTTTGTTTACTTTTCTATTATACATCATTCCTCTCTTTAGTCTTTTATTTTTTCTTTGCATTGTTTGAGAAAAATTCTATACATGCTTCGGCGGGAACGGGGATTGCTTGACTCTTATTAATACAAGACCTCGCTGGCGCTCGTCCGTGTAACTCATACTCGTCCAGCAATCCCTTACTTCTCGGCCTCTGGAATAATGTACTATTCATTTGGTCGAGTTATATTTATTTGATAGTAATTGTTTAGGACGGATGTCGGACGGAGAACGAGAGTACAGGGCCAGAGTTCAACATTAATTAGTCGGTTTTACTCACGGAGTATATTGTCAAAGTCAAGCTTCACGGAGAGTAGTCTTGCACAAGCTAAGTACATGTGTATATCTATGAATGCATATGCGTTGTGTATGTAAACTGGTAACCGGTAAACAATACACCGTCGAAACTCGACAGTTTAGCTGGGCCTTTAAATAATTTGTTCAATGTTTGCAATTCTCTACTCTACTAATGACGTATTGTATAATACAATAAAAATGTCCTCAGATCGATCGTGGTACAGACCCTATGGAGACAGACATGGCCCATGCGTCTTCAATGTGGACTCCCAATACGCAATCCTCGGCAACTTTGGGTCAACCAGATGAGGGTAAGTTATGGCTATGTTACGAAATTTTAAATATTTTTTTTGCTACGAAACACGAAAGTCATATTTGTAATTTATAATAAGTATCAATCTAATATACCGTTTGCGTAATGTTCATTTTATATAAACACTGCAGATATAACATTTACTGAGAATTATGTTGAATGTGTGTGTGAAAAAAAAATTAATATAATTCCAATGGTGTTTAGGTGCAACGGTGTATGAACCGAATTCGTTTGCATTTGCTAGTTGGTTCGACCTCCTCCAGTTGGTTTAGGTTATGTTAGTATATGTAAATCAATATTCTGCTTAAAGTTTTAATAAATGTATTTTATAACACAAAAAGCACTTAAAGCTATACAAACACAATTATATTTTGCGACTGTACATTTTATGGAATAAAAAAAATTCTTATCGACATAATGTAGGGGACTTCAACTATTCGTGAAACTAAATATTGTGTTATATTATTTAACACATTATACTGATAGTACTTATACCATTTGTTCATTATGTCACTTAAACCATTATATCTAATGTTTGTTATACTGAAGGTTCATTATACACATTGAAATTATGCCTTTTGTTGCTATAACTTTTATTGATTATATACAGTGAGTGATTATATCCTTAGACATTATATCAAATGCTATTATACCAAGTGAAAATAGATTATTTGTTGTTATACCTTCCATTACACACCGAAAAGATAGGGTGACGATGATGGACAGCATTGTCACATACTTAACTGCAGATGATTACGTCATACTTTCACGGGTTTAGGACCGTCAAATGCTTGTGTTTTCTCTTAGAATATAACACGTTATTAAACCAATACTAATGAGTAATATTGCATTTGATTTACTGTCGTGCTATACCTTGTGTCGATAGTTAGTGTTCAAAAACTTTTTTCATCGACCTTATTCGACCTGCTTTTTGCTATTCAACCGAATACCGAATATTGAATCACCATTCGGCCGAATACTGAGTACCTAAACCTGCAGGAAGAAATTTAATAAAACACAGTGAATTATCATGTAACGTTTATTAATGCTGAAAATACAATGAAAGTTCGCGGTAGCGTTATTTTATATTTATAAGCACTTATTTATCTAAAACAAATATTTTTCTAAGAGAGTAAGAAAAAGTAACGTATTAAACAAAAACTACCTACTTATTATGAAGTTTACTCATGACTAAATAAAGGCTGACAAAATTAACCAAGTACTTGTTATTTCCAAATCAATATAAAAGTAAACTTACTACTAGAAATCTACTATCAAACTAATTCGAAATAAACAATTACTTTCTTCACTTAGTCATAAAATTATATTATAAACTGATAAAGTACCTTTTTTGTTTCATGTATTGTACAAAATGATTCATCATAACTGAAGTTAATTTTTTCGTGTCATTTTTCATACGTGCGGTAATCAATATAATACGGAATAGTTTGGCTGATAATCTCAGTACAGAGTACTAAAAAACCGACCTCAAATGTTCGTGGAATTACATCTATTTGCCAAGTTTTATTGAAATATCCCCTAGTTCGCCACTATACAGGACTTGACACTGGATATAATAAAAATCCGTTCTCACTACTCAAAGTATATCGAGAGAAAAACGCCTTGAATTGGAGAAATAGCAAAATCAACCATGAAAGTATTTGCTCCTAAATTAAAGTTAGTCGCTATTTATAAAAATGAATCTTCATGCGTGAACAGCCACCCTTCGAGGTGGATGATTTTCTTCAAAATGAAATGGGACCACTATGGAAGTACCTCTTTTGCGTCACTTAATATTGCTCGTCTGTTTAAAACGTAATTGCCGAAAGGGATGGCAACAATTTTATTGCTATAAATTTGTAATCTTGTGACAGGAAAAACCAAGATGGAGATAAGTTTCACGTCACATTTTCCTGCAATCGTAGTACACCTATCTGATTGACAAGCTTGAGGAAAATTCTTAGAAGCGTTTTCTTGTAGTGGGACAGCTAATAAGAAATTTGTCTTCTTGTTTTTTCTTAGCAACTCCCGGTCCCAGCACGTCTCGCCCACAAAACGGCGCAGAGAGCACGGAGAGTGGTGATGGCGAAAGTAGCAGCAGACTGCTCAATCTAGACGTTCTCTCGTTTGACAATCCTTCAAGGTAACTAGGAAATTAATAAAATGAAATTGTCATTAATTTTGAATTTATGAATATTTTGTTTTGAGAATCTATTATTTTTGGTAAAAAAATATTTTTTTATGTATTTCTACAGGAGTGCAGATTCATCACATCACGAGCACTCCATATTTGGCTCTAGATCGTCGGCTTTTCAGCCTCTGACAGAAGGCAGGTCATTTCGAACTGTAGATCAGAATGAGCGCAACAATAGAATTTTACCAAATCCATTTTCGTCGTCCATTAGCAGACCGCAACAGTCTCCTCCACCGGCGCACTCATCACGGACGAGCATCTTTACTTCTTCCAGACCCGAGTCTTCTTTGGCTCGAGCGTTCATGGAACGTAGAAGAAATTCATCACCCTGTCGGCATACACAGAACCCTTCAAGACACAATACATCGATTTCTACTGGAGAAACCAATCAAAGTCCATTAACCAATCAAATGCTGTTTCAAGATCCGTTTACACCGTCACCCTCACAGAGCATGCCGTCAACGTCGGGCACCAACACCCAAAGACCGACTATGACCAACTCTTCTACCCAAATGAGCCCTATCACAGGTTCTGTCGATGCACAAACGATTAACGAGAGTCTCGATCTGATCCGTGATATCTTAAGAGATTCGGGAACACGACTGTTGAATTTGATCACCAACATGTCTTTGTCGACAGTAGCGAGCGTTGAGCGCAATATGCCGAGGAGGGGTAGCTGTTCCCGCGCTCAGTCGGATGACAGTGAAAACAACACTCGAAGCACAAGAACACGTACACGACCTCTTTCCCCACGCTCCAACTTACGCAGAGACCTTCTTTCTTCTAGTTCCGACTCTGACAGTGACCAATCTCTCGAAGTTAACATTTTCAGAACTAGAAATTCTACATTTCATGACGAATCTATGGAAACAGATCGTAACACACCGAGTACATCTGAACGATCATCAAACCTTACAGACAGGATAGTATTTGACCTAAATGACGAGCCCCGCCGTCGTGTAACTTCCCAAGATACTGGAGCGATTAACGTTTCATTGTCAAATGATAGGTTTCGTGTACGAACACAGAACCAAACCGCCGATCAAGCCGGAACCTCGAGACCTGATACCGGAGATAACGAGCTCGAGACTGAAATAGATACTGGTAATCCTCCTCAGAGTGAACCTATTGATTACAGTCCTAGACCTTCGACAAGTCGGGATAACTTCTGGTCAAGAGGTGACCCAATGCCTTCTGAAGAGGCTTTTCGAAAGGTAAGAGGAGGCGTAATCGCTTTACAAAAGCACACTGTACAACTGATGAACCTTTGGGTACGCGGTAATCGCACCACGTTACGGGAACTACGTAACATGTGGGAAAATCTTCGGAGACGCATACTAAGTCTGCACAGAGAAACGGCGAGGCAAGATATGCCTAGCTATTATACAAGATCACTTTTGGAAAGATGCATGATGTTGACTGACATGGCGGATAACGCCCGTAATGCTCTACGAAATTCTAGGAACAACCCTAGGTCCGCCGGAAATGATAATAACGCAGAAAATAGCAGGGACGCCCCGCCCAGAAGTGAAAGTGGCAGTAATTCAAACGCGACTGAGAGTGACTTAAATGCGGCGACTGACAATGTGAATGATAACAGGCCGTCGTTTTTGCGATCACCGCAAAGGCGGTCGACATCAAGCACAATGAGATCTGCTGCCTCACTTAGAAGGAGGTTACATGCAAGGTGGCGTGGCGACGACGAAATTCGTCGACGCCATCGCAACCCTAACTCGAATCGACTTGCTCCGAGGCTTACCAACAGATCCCGCATAGATGTTGCCCGCGCCATTGAAATTAGCGCGACGAGACATGAAATACGCATGCGTGCTATGCAAGTACTGTCTATAATGTTCAACATGATGATGATGTGTCTTGAAGAACGAGGCCTTAGCCAGCTTATTATTAATATGCTTCGTACACTCAAAAAGGCGCTTGCATTAACTTGCTTGATGTTGATGATGAACCGTAATAGAGCCAATCGTCAAGCTGGCAACACTGCGCCTGCCGCACAGCGTATGGAGTCCTTGAATGTTGTACGGATTCAGCATGTCGAGCATACTGGACCAGTTAACGTCGATGGACCTGATGACCCAGCCATTCCCAATACAGAACCTCCTCGTTCTCCGCCACCCCCACCACCACCACCACCTCCGCCTCCCCCTCCACCACCACCGCCACCGCCTCCTAGATGTAATGAAACTGTTTCCAAAAATAATGATAATATGGCGACTGTAACAAATAATCTTTTAACTCCCATGCCTGCAAAGCCAATAAACCTTCTGCAAGACAATTCTCCGCCACCTACCATCACACCGAGTACAAACACGCAAAAATGGAGCAATCGGCTCGCGGTTCAAATTTCTGAAGCCAATAGGAATTATTCTGCAACTGCGAGGAACCGAAGAGAAATATATTTAGAAAGTCAGCGCATGAAGGCTTTGCATCGAACTAATCCAGCTGCACATCCAATCGTTAAGAAGAAGATGTTACCGCCTGTTACTAGTCACAGAATTCCCGCCGTTCGTTACTTGCCTGGTCAAAGAAACATGCCCTCGACACCAAGGCATGAAGCTCGCATTACCATTGAACCAGTAGCGGGTCCTTCAACGGATCGAATTATTCACTCTCCTGCTGATCCAGCAGAAAATCAAGGTCCCAGGGACCAACTCTTAAATGAGTTTGATCGCAGAGTAAATTTAGTGAGACTAGCTCATTTGCAAGCGATGAGACTAAGAAACGCTACAAGGACAAGGTTTAGACGATTGCAGACTATCCGTTTATACACACCGTCGTCGGTGAGAGAAATGTTCGCTCTGCACTCGACTAATGGAGAAAATCCTCCAGGAAGTCGATCTCCAATGCAAAACGGCCCTGACATGGGGAACCGCCGTTCTTTTACCAGTTATAGGCCCCATATACTCACTCCTCGTAGTGATACTAGTAATCGGTCGCCGGAGGAGCCGAGCCATTTCCACACGGTGCTGAACAACGTTGCCATGCCTTTGATGCAAGTGAACGATCTACCAGCTCACGTCGAGGCTCATAATAATCAACCGCAGCGCCTGCCAAGGATTCACGAATATCTGCAACCTATTATTCTAGCACAGGTACGTGGATGAATTTATAATTATAATAAATGTGTTCCCCGGTTCAGATAACTAACTAATTCTTAACTTGAGGAACTGAAACAGAGTCGTATGATTAAAAAAAGGTGTAGGACTAATTCTCGCAGAACTCCAAAACGGTTTCTAAAGATTTCGATAAAAATGCTTTTTAACTCGAAAATTCATGCAGTAGACCTGTGTCGGTCGATCATTTTTGATAACCCGGGTCGATCATGACCCATGCGTAGTATGATTGGGTCAAATAATTCGACCATATGTTCGATATTTTATCAGGTCACCTGTCCCTCATGATACTTCCATATGGCGTTTAAAAGTGTCAAGTTATACAATTAGCTTTTAGTCTTTCCTGCTAATAGGCATTCAAAATTACTAATTTACTATTCATTAATATTTTAATGTTAGCTAGTGCACTCTTAAATAAACACAACATACCGAAAAACAGATTCAACTTACAAAACAGATTCAACTATCTAATGGACACTACGCCACGGGGCAATTAGGATGAATGAATGATTGATAGACTTATTGTGTTACATAATTGAATTAAATATATATTCGGTGTATTATTATATCAAAATAAACTATAGAAGCCCTAAACAGAGTTAATAGAAGCTGAATGGTGCCGTGGGTTTGTGACGTGACGAAAGTTCAGAGGAAATTATTTTGTACATTGGTGTGGTCAAAGGGCATAAAATTAAGCCATAGGTAACAAAAAAACTGAGTTAATTAAAGAACATACCATAGACTATTGCACTGTAATTCTGACACAAATATTTTTTTTTTTTGTGAAACGTGCCGTCTATTATTATATATATAGATTTTGGGAACTTTTACGTCAGTTATACATTTTCTCGCGTGGCATTTTATATAAGAAATATTGACTTTATTTTTTGTAATGAAGTACACTGATTAACATCTTTTGTTAGCTTATTACAAATCAGTCGAATCAGTACATTTGATATTACGTGAACTAAATGTGGACCATATCCATACGTAGGTACTGAAATTCCTTTTTTTAAGCTAGATGTCGCTCAACGTTAAGAAACTAAGAAACTGATTGTTGTAGATATCAGTCCGGTTACATACTATTTAGTCATTAGAGTTTTTTTGTAAATATGATTTTATTTCCAGACTTAGATAGGCCGTAATTATAATTTGAAAAACCTAATGAATTTATTTTATTCAAACTTGTAAGACATTTGAAGACGCTAACGAATTCTTTTAACTATGATTTTACCATTGTTCTTTACTGATAAGAAATGTAAACAAGTATATAAAATCCATAAGTGGTTACTTAAGTAATCAAATTTTAAGTAGTTCCTCTCGAGCCGCGTATTCGAGAGGCTTCAGCCAATTTTGCAATTTAGACTTCAGTTCGTAACTGGATAAGCCAACAAAATTGTGAATTCTGTTTAATTTATTGTATAGAAACGCATCACCGTCATATTTATGGGAGTATAGAAGTGATTGTTAAGTATCGTTAACAGAATAGGTTTTTGTAAGAAATAAGGTAACTTATTCAAACAATTATACTAGTGTGACGCAGTGATATCGACGTGTGATTTGCCTTAGAATAATAACGCATAGAAACCTAGTCCGCACACGCTAAGTGTGGCAAATTGAAGCGCTCCCAATGGGCCTACACGAGCGGGCGGGCCTTCAGTGCTCAAGGTCAACTTGCACCGCGAATAGCTCCAGAATTTTAGGTATAAATGACGAAATGTGCGGTAAATGAGTGTAAAAATACGTCAGACAAACATAAAATAGATACTAACATCACATTCCACAAGGAAATAACGCGTTTCAACTTGTATTTTTATATAAATATTCACTAAAACCGAAAATTAACCTACTACTAAAACTAGCCTACATGAAACTGATTTTTGCCTCACTTGTGACACTTCGTTTGATATGAAACTATCATTCTATGCGTTATTATTCTAAGTGATTTGCTTATCGTTTTTTTTGTTTACAGAATGCAATGTTGGTAGATGACGACGGTCATGAGGGTATTGGCATTGGCGGTGTCGGTGTTGGAGGCGGGGGCGGAGGGGGTGCTAGACGAATTAGTGCGGGTATGGCTGGTCTATTGGACGCCGGCATCATCTCCGAAACCCTGCCAGCGCCTTCGCACCGCGTTCAAGCGTGGGATTTTACCACAGGAACCACGCCTGATATCGCTGATAGTGAGAAAACTCTTATCTATATACCTAACTATAAAGGACTGTCCACACATATCAGGGCCGTGCCCGGGACGTGGACAGGGCGTGCTAGTTTGTTTAAACTGCGGGCCCGTCCCGGCGCCGGCCCGGACATGGACATGTGTGAACGAGTTCATACGAAATATACGCAACGATATTTTTTTGAGCCCATGACGAAACACGTCCCGTCCACGTCTCGGGCACGGCCCTGATGTGTGTGGATAATTCTTTATGAAACTGCACTTGCGATTTGTAGATACAGACTTAATTATTTATAAAATTTGTTCCTATCTGTTTTTATTTGTCATGTTATGCACCCCTGTTATTTCTAACTCAGCTCTCCGGTTGACTGGTTGCTAATGGCATTAAGTCCACCATTTATACAATTTTGTGTGCAATCAAGTTTAAATACATAAATAAATGATAAATATATAAATTAGTTCATTTATACTGATAAATTAATTATTTAAGTAATGAAAGGCCACCTTATAAAGCATAGATTTACAATTAAGTAAATCACTATTGAAGGTTGATTCTAAATTCACTTGCTTATGAAAAAAATTTAGGAGTTGCAAACCAGGTGCAACCAAAAAATATCTTCTAATATTTCAAATATTTAACACTACATATTAAATACTAATAATGTATATTGATAATAATATTTATTCATATACGTTAGTAGGAAAAAAAGGCCATAAATAAATATAGGTAAATAATAACGCTATATAATAGAATAGAATAGAATAGAATAGAATAGAATAGAATAGAATAGAATAGAATAGAATAGAATAGAATACGTTTATTTGCCAGAATACAGTAATTACAAAGGTCTTAAGTAAAATTAGGTACATTGTATTCAACCTGCAAGCAGATGTGCTTGATGTGTTATTAATGGGATTCAATGTTTCTTTAGTCTCTATAGTTTCTAATTAATGTAATGAATTTGTAAATTCTAAGTATTCTTTATTACTATAGAAGCAATGTGTCAAAAGCCATTTTGTCAATTTTAATTTAAAAGTATGTCCTTGTAACAATTTAATTTCGTTTGGTAATTTATTGTAAATAATTATACACATGTTGAAGCAGTTATTCTTATAAATTACTTTATAAGAACGAGGTTGGTATAAGAGATTCATAATTTTTGCTCTAGTTTGCCTTTGAATGACTTCGTGACCGCGTGTTTTAAAATATTGAGGATGAGAGTTGACAAATACGCAGATATCCCTAATGTACATGCATGGCAAAGGTAATATGTTCAGCTTTTTAAACAGCGGTTTGCAACTGTCATCGAACCACGCACCGCAAATTGCTCGAATACACTTCTTCTGGACTTCAAACGCTCTTTCTAAGATTACTGAGTTACCCCATAGTACAAGACCGTAGCTGAGCACGGACGAAACGTAGCCGTGATAGGCCGTCAACGCAGCTTCTCGCGAGACAGTTTGCCTTAGTCTTCGTAAAGCGTAAACAAATCTGTTTAGGTTCATGCACATCTGTTCGATGTGTTCCTTCCAGTTAAGGTTCTTGTCGATTGTTAACCCAAGAAAGTTAAATGTGTCTACTTCATCTACAGTATCAGAGTTGTAATTAATTTTAACCGGTATGGTATTTGAGTTGTAAGATCTAAATGTCATAACTTTGGTTTTACTTATGTTAATATTCAAGTCATTGATGTCCATCCAACTTATTACGTCTGTCAGTGCTTTATTTACGTCAGTGTTAAAAGTCGCTTGGTTTTGGCATTTTATTATAAGAGTTGTATCGTCAGCAAATTGTGAACAATTATGATCATGTGGGAGATCGTTAATGTAGAGTAGGAACAGTAACGGACCCAAGACGCTACCTTGCGGTATTCCAGCATTAGGTGTGATCTAAAAAATTGTTTTTCTAATCTATTATTGTGTTTGTTTTTTGTTAATCTACTTATTTCAGTATACTGTGTCCGATTTTTTAAGTAGCTCGCTATCCAATTTTGGGCTGTTCCTCTAATGCCGTATGATTCAAGCTTGTAAAGGAGTTTTGAGTGATTTACAAAGTCGAAGGCTTTAGTCATATCTAGAAAGACGGACATTACAGGAGTAGAGACGTTTATACTTTCCGTTACAATGCGCAAAAACTCAAAACATGCAAGAGTTGTAGAACTACCTTTTCTAAATCCGAATTGAGAGTGATATATTACTTTATGTTTCTCTAAAAATGCATTTATTCTGGAATGCAGAGCCCTTTCAAATAATTTGGATAGAGTCAGGATTAAAGTAATTGGTCTATAGTTACTTGGGCTTTCCTTATCGCCTTTTTTATATAGGGGTTTGACAACAGAAGTTTTTAGCTGTTCTGGAAAAAGACCATCACTAAACGATAAATTTATAATATGTGCAAGCGGATGAGAGATATAAGAGGCACACATTTTAAGTATTTTAGTTGTTATATCGTCATAGCCACTGGATTTGGTGTTTTTTAAAGACATAATTATGTTATAAGTTTCCTTCTCATTTATCGGTTCCAAAAATATTGTATGGGAATTTTTATTCAATAAATTAGATGGATATGTCATGCAGTTTTTAGTCAAGTTAAGTTGGGTTAGGTTATTTTTATTTGTCAAATCTATAAAATAATTGTTAAAAATATTACAAATGTCATCTGGGTTTGAGTATGTCATATTGTTATGTCGTATATGTTTTATGCCATTTTTACAGGTATTGTTAGTAATTGTAGATGAAATGGTATTCCATGTCGCTTTACATTTGTTTTTATTATTGTGGATATAAAGATTATTATTGATTTTCTGAGATTTTAACATACATTTTCTTAGGATACTATTATACATTTTAAATTTATTTGTATTTAACTGTTTATTAATATTTGATGCTCTGTATTTCAAATATAGTAATCGTTTTGTTTTACAGCATTTTTTAAGTCCTTTTGTCAGCCAGAGCAGCTTTTTTGGCCTATTGTTAATTTTAACTCTGATAATTGGAAAACATAGTTCATAAAATAGACGTATTAAATCATAAAAGTTGTTGAAAGCCTGAATTACATTGTCTAAACCTAAGATATCGGAAAAGGAAAGAGCTGAAACGCATTCACAGAACTTCTGAATATTTTCATTTCTAGTCTCGCCGCTGTTCGTACCAAGTGGTGATAGCTTTTTGCCTCCCTATGCTCAAAGTCAACGTTTGTGCAGTTTCGTGGTCAGAGAGAGCCAGAATGTGAACGTCTGCTTTTACTAATTTTATGTTACTAATCGCCATTAAGTCGATACACGAGTTTAACCTAGTTGGTGATTTTATGTGAATGTTAAAGTTATAGTTTTGAAGAATGCTCTGAAGATCTTTGGTAGCTGTATTTTCCTGTAATATGTTGATATTCCAATCACCGCAAATAACGATTTTTTTATATTTGAATTTGACGGACAGATGGTGGAGTAAAGTGTTTAGTTTATGTAGGAATAAACCCACGAAAGTTTTTGTATGATCAGGAATTCTATATATATTAACTACAATGAGACCAATACCTACAATTTCCACACCACAACATTCAAAGTATAGTTTCGATGCCAATTTCGACACGATAGGTAGGGGTTTGAAGTCTAAAATACTTTGTATTAAAATGCATGTGCTCCCTTTACTGTTTTCGCGACAATAACTTGCCGCTAATTTATAATTACTAAGTTTTATGTTAGTTTCCGAACCTCTTTTTACAAATGTTTCACTAAAGCATATTATATCAACCTCATTGCCGTCATCATATAATTCCTTAAAAGTGACCTCTAAAAGATCTAATTTACTACAAAGACCTTGTATATTCTGATTAAAAATAATAAAATTGTCAGTATGAGTTTTAGATGTCGAATGTTCATGAATGTTATGACAAAGATGATAACAAGTCGGTTTCTGAATGTCTGCGTTACGGGCGAAAAAATTACTAACGTTAGCTGAAGGCTTAGAGTTGCGTAACTTACGGAATTTAATGCCACTCTCAATGAACTCTCTCCTGTAATTTAAAAAGTCGATCTCTACATTTAGTTTGAATACAATAGAGTTCCAGGACGTTTGATCTTTAATATTAACTAATGTACAATTTATATAATTTTTAGTGAATCTTTCTAAGTCATAATTTAAGGTGGCTGTGTTCAAATATTTGTTATTACGTATATTAAATAATAGTATATTGTTATTTCTGAATTTATACAACATGTTGCATATGTTTGTTAGTAGTGTAAAGGGATTTCTATCATTACACCCCACCGAAAAAACAATAAGATCTTCTTTCGTTATAACATTTGTCATGTGAGTTAAGTCATTTACAATATGTGAGCTAGAAGCATAGGGTTTTACTACTGCTCTTACGTCGTATTTATCACTCCACTGGCCTTTTCTGAAGTTAAGCAGTCTCAGAGATAGTCCCCGCACTTGTTCGTCGCCAAATATATATATTATCGGCTTTTTGTGTACACTTGTGGATGGGCTAACACTACTTTTCTTCGGTGGGTGTGATTGTAGTGGTACTGGATTTTTTATGTTTTGTGTTCGTTTTCTTAAAGTCAATGAGTGGCTTGCTGGCGTGCTCATGCCAATAGGATTTTGAAGAGACATTTGCTGGTGATTGTGTTTATGTTTTGTGTCGCTCGTGGTAGTAGTTTTATTATTGTTTATTACTAATGAATTGTATTTTGTTTGATTCCCGCTGAGATCAATGTAGCTCTGATCTAGTATTTTATTTGAGCTCTTTTATGTTTACTTGTGTTGTTTCGCGATGACGTTGTACTTAGTCTTTTTAGATTGTTAATTACATTCTCTTGGGATTTGATTTTATCTTGTAAGCTATAGTTTTCTGATAACAAATTAACAATTTCATTGTCTGCTATCTGCAATTTTTCTTGTAACTCTAAAATATTTTTTTCCATTTTTTCAGCTTTATCGTAAATCATTGTTCTTTCTGGACAACTCCTATTATGCTCACTGGTTGATATAAAACATGCCTGTTTTGCGTCATCATCAGCGTCATCCCCCATGTCCTCATCATCATTATTGGAAGATAAGCTGGATAGAGCCTCAAACGAATTTTCGGTGGATATGACTGTTTTATACTTATTTCATTGAGTTATATTTTCGCAGAGAGAATTCCGTTTTGTAATGCAATTGTTACACTTCCACGCCGCTTTTTTTTTTCTTTTCCATTAAGTGGAATCTTTTGTATGGTACGTTACAACAATCTAGATGATGGGTCACTTTGCAAGATGAACATATAAGGAACTCTCTATTATTTATTGATTTATTACATTTATTGCAAACTAACGCCATCTTGACGGGAGTAGATGGAACTATTTCGTACTACGAAATAACTTTCATGACACTCGAACATTAAGCAGATTGCTGTCCCGGAGTTCTTAAGATGTTTCTTTACACGAATGTGGTTTTGATTAAACGGAATAATTTGTGTTTTTGCAATAATTAATGTTGTAAAAGGCAAACTTGATTTAGCTATTTTTTAAACATCCTTTTCGATTTTTTGCGAGATAACACTTGTGTAGCTTAATTAGAACACTACGAACGTAAACTTAAATAAATTAACACCAGCACTGCACTTATTCCACGAAATTGAAAATTAGTATACGAAGTCACGAAGGGATAGACGAGGAAAGTCGTTTGAAGGAGTCAAGAATTCCACAGCTGGATAGCAGATTCTGTAAGAGATGGAATAAATGGGGACTGCGGAGTGTATGTAGAAGAGCGATATATAAAGTGTTCTTTATAGTAAAGTGGCATAAAGAAATGGAATGCAAGGAAATTTATGGGTAGCTATTTAAGATCTCCCAAAAATAGTTGACATGTATGAGATGCCTACTTAAATTAGTTAAAACCAGTTATAGGTGTAACAGAATCTCATGGTATTAAACGGTTAGAAAAATAGAACAACTTTTACCTGGCGATGTTAACTTCTCACTGTCAATTCAAAATATTCCTTGTGTCAAATGCAGTGGCGGATTTGCAGTCTTGGCCGCCCTAGACCCCAGGCCATGTAGTCAGTACCAGCATCCGTTCTGTAGTTTTTGAGTCGCGATCAGACAGACAGACGGACAAACGTAGTGATGTAGTGATTATACATTACATTATAGATATGTAACGTATCTATATTTTATGCATAAAGTGTATGTGATTTAGGAAGTGCTGTGCGGCCCACCATAATGAGCGTGAGTTTTTAGACCATTTAGGTACTTTGAGTTATTTCTTATTATCATCAGTGAATTATTGGTCCGCCCCTAAAGTGTGGCCGCCCTAGGCCCGGGCCTACAGGGCCTTAGGGTAAATCCGCCATTGGTAAATTTCTTTTTTGTAGCAATAATTAAAGATAAAAATAAATTTGTTCTGTATAAAAATTTAACCTATATACATGAATCTTATGAAATAACCTTTTATTTACATATACGCGCTAGACTATCACAAACAGTGAAATTATTGTAAATTTACATAACTTTAATTAAGGTCAGTAGTGCAAGTTAATCCAGGTGATACCTAAACTAAGTAAAATTGCTTAATTGTATCTTAGGTTTCAAAATCGGTGCTATTAGCATAATGATTACTTTAGTCAACATATTTTGTTCAATAACAATAAAACATGAATACTTAATTACATTAGTTAGCGTCTTCACTATTATTAACATTGCGTAACCACAGATGCTAAATTTTCAGTGTCATTGTAGTTTTAGCCTTTTAACCAGTGTATGTGTATGGTATTCTTACATTGAAACTTATTCATAGGATATATACATAGTTAACGACTTATTTTATTACACAAAATGCTACCAAGAAAGCAAAAGAATCTATGGGAGTCTGCAGTTCGAAACCGTTCAGTGGAACAAACAATATCTGCTCGTATTTTGCTGGTTTGGAGTGAAGGGATATAGGGCGTTAGTGAATGTTTTTTTGTTACGGATAGTAGTATGAATAACTGGCTTATTGAACGTACATCACATTTAGCAAGGAGTTCAGCTGTGGGAAAGCGAAAAGGTCGGAATGTACTGACTTTCAGTCTGGCTCTTGTTTTCTGTGTTTTTATGGGTGCCTCCCCAAGTCGTTATGCAGAACACACACAAAGTGACAAATACACAGTTTTCAGCAGCTTTCCACTGGCGACATGTCTTAAATTTTTGAAAATATTCGTACTCCAACCGTAAGTAATTCAATATGGGAATTACTTAGAATCCGCTTCAAACGCAAGCAAAACACATTGTAATAATGCTTATCGTAAAATCAGTGACGAATTAGATACATCTAAGTCACAATTCACGATTAAGAAGCGAGTCTCAAATCTTGCCAATGTATGTGGTATGTAATTTTTGTTGGAACTTGTCGGCGAGACTAGTGTATAAACAATGATTGGTAAAAAATAGATAAATGGCGTATTTAAATGGAAGTTACTTAAAACTGTAATTGTAAATAAATCTATCACCCACAAAGTAATTGATACTTTTTTTTTTAATTTAAAACGTGTCAGAAATTTCTTACTTTTTTTACACACAAATTCATACAGATCGTAAAACATGTACGAGGATAGTTTAATTCTGGTCAATTAAAATATATGAAGTATCTAAAAATTTTTTCCTACTATATTGATGTTGCCCATTACAAATTTGAATTTGTCTAAGTGCCATCAGATTCTGGTGCACCTATAACTGACCTTCGACGTATATTTCCGTCATGTTTGTTTATGTTTTTACGCCAACAGGCACAAAGAACGTCGTCGTCCAGCGTTGCCGGATCCATAATGATGCGAGCATCGACATTTCCAAAGATGGACGCTTGTTGGTCGCGCTGCTGCCAGTGCCGAGGCTGCGGAACAGCAACCATTGGCTTGGTAAGATAAATTTTTGCAACATTCTCTTAGTTTATTGATTTTAACTTAAGAATTCGCACATTTTGACGACCTCCTCGATGGTGTCGCCATCCTCGACGTCCCGGGTTCGATTTCCGGCCGGGTCAATGTAGAAAACTAACTTTTCTATATTACCTCGGGTCTGGGTGTTTGTGGTACCGTCGTTATTTCCGATTTCCATAACACAAGTGCTTTAATTATGAATACAAAGATCGAACACTTAGAAAAAAATGCTTTGATCCGGCTGGATTCCGGTTGGTTCGCAACAACGTCTTTTAGCAAATCGTGCCAGACGCTATGCTAATTAAGCCACGGAACGAACCAGCGGACTTTACGAATCTTTCTATCTTCTTGTTGCAGACCTTTGTTTTGGTTTTTTAACGCTTTTTTTTGCCATAGCGCAGTAGTTCTTTGTATTAATAATATAATTTCGAACTAGTGGAGTAATTTCCCAAAAAATAATTGAATATCATGGTGGTGAATCATTCTGTTATTTAATAAATTTAATTACAAGTGGTTTAGTTACTTACTTTGGGATCGAAGCAACGTATTGTGATGTTGTCTAATATTTATTTATTTATTTATTCTAATATTTACACGTAAATTCAATAAAGTTTTAACGATGGATATTGGAGTTAAAGTCGAGGTTGGCACAGGAAGGCAATAAAAATCGATATATTTATAGGTGTATACTCTTTGGAGTGGGGTCGTCTGGGCCAGTGCCTCCACACCGCCGTGCTAGAACAAAGCGCGGTCTCCGTGGCACTATCGCCGACGGCTCGCCACCTCGCCGTGGGACTTGGTTCGCGGCGCTTCACTACCACCCCACATGCCAGGAATAATGTTTTTGCATTGCTCTATAGGCTGGAACCCTTAGGTAAGACTTCTTATTTCATTAAAATTAAGGTCCAATAGAAAACAATAAAAATGTTACGTAAGTAAGAAAGCGAAAAATTTTGATGGACGGGTCACTCCAAAAACGGAATAAAATGTCAATGGAATAAAAAACAAGTTATATATAGTCTGTCATTTTTTAACACGGAGTAAAATGACATTTGTAGGGTTGCCAGTTTTCATGAGATTTTAGTTTTATCGATAGATTATGAAAGAAGATAAAATTTTTCTCCAAAAAGGACCGAATGTTACGACGTTCTAATGACTACTAATTGTGTTATTGCATTGTTTATTATTATTTTGACAGTTGGCCTACTAGTATCGAGATCAACTTTTATTCATATACATTTTAACAAGAATAACCTGATTTGATTATCTACATTAAATTAAAATGAAATACTTTAAAATATGTCACCTCTTTGTATTTTTCATAAATATAGTTCTAAATACAGTGCATGTACGTCTGAACTTACAAAAATTGACAATTCAAATGAACTTGTGCTCAATAATTGGACGAATAATGGGTCGAGGATGATTCAAATGAAACAAATTCGGCTATTTATTCCATAAGCGTAACCAATATTCAGTCGATAGTCGATAGAATATTTATCGACTGCAATACTAACTGCTCACAAGCGGGCAGCACTTTTGCGTAATGAACTGTCATTTTACTCCGTCTTCAAAAAAGACAGACTATAAAGAATAAGTCAAGGAAACGCGAAAGACGAACAGGGGTAAAGGCGGGTCTCGAATTGAAAAAAATGTTTGGTGTTCCGGTTTTCTCTAGAAATAATCATCTACTAACAAAAAGACCAGAGATGACTCAGTTTATTAGCTTTTAAGTATATAATTGACTGGCAAATTACTTCTGGATCTTGGAATCCAATTTTACTGCGATCGTGAAATTGTTGCCATTCGATAATAATGTCATGTAATGCCATTTTATAATAATAAATATTTTATTAAGATATCTTGGGTCCACTTGTTAGTAATACAAAATAATAATAATAATATTTTAAAACGCCTGTTGTTACTAGGTACATAATTGATCAAAACAAAAAGTATACAAGTCGTTAGAGGAGCCGTCTCGTACATCACCTCACCAAAACTCTGGATGAAATGACGCAGCATCGGCGTATCGAGCTTAGCAGCAAACATTTTCAGGATGCTGTTAGAACTTATACAGTCTCAAGAGCGTGACGCCATCTTTTTTCGCATCACAGCATAAACGTCATTAACTTCCTACTACTACTTGAACAAACATCAAGGTGCTACAGTGCCGCGGTAGTCCCAACAGCGTCCTGAAACTGTCTTTATATTGAATACGCATGGCGTTGATAGTTTCTCAGACCACCCTTTAATAGAAGTAGAAGGATTGACAATTTTTTTTTATAATATCAAGTGACGGGACGGACAAGTCGTGCGCCTGATTTTAAGCTACATGCCTGTATATAACAGTTGCAGTGCCACTCAGAGCTTTAAATCGCATAGATCTGAGGAACACTGCCACTGTGCCCGTCACCCTGAGACATAAGTTGAATAGTCCCATGTAGTGATGAAAGAGATTAAGTCTTTTAAGGCCTTTTAAAAAACTTCGACTAATTTTCAACGCTTTACGACTAGTCATTTAACCCTCAAGTCTTGAGTTATAAGACTAAAACTGAAGACTAATTCGAGTCGAAGTCTTATAACCCTAGGAAGCTTAAAAGACTTATAGGACTAAAACGACTGACGCCTCATAGCCTCGGGAGTCGCGAGTCATGAGCCGTATGGCGTGATTTTATTTCTACCCACAAGGTATTTATTTTACGATTTTTATTATAAGTAAATAAACGTGATTATTTATTACATACTAATACGTCATTTTTATTTATAAACTTCGGGTTTAATAAGATATAAAATTGGTATGAGTCCTTTGCAAACAACTTGAGTTGTTTAAGTCTTTCAAGTCGTTTAAGTCTTTTGAGTCTTTTAGTACAACGACTGAGTCTTATTAATAAAAACTCGAACCCCCAGTCTTAATTTTAGAGTCGAGTCCTGTAAAATGGAGTCGAGTCGTTATAAAACGCCTTAAAAGACTGAGGCTGTTTCATCACTAGTCCCATGTACCTGTAATTTCACCAGCACCCTTACCCTTCACCTTTACCGGAATACAGTAATGCTGACATTACCGCATGGCGGCAGAAATAGGTAAGATGGTAGTACCACCCTGGACGAACTCTTTCACAAGGAGCTCTACTGCTACTATTGAATAGTGTTATTTTGATATCCTTACTACAATGGGCAAATCTGTGTGCCAACATATTACATCTCTGCTAGAGTCAACGCCCTACGTTTACAATCAATATCAGTTTGGTCTTTTATAATTACTTTGCGACTTTTAGGCTGGTTGAAAACGATCTAACGACACTATAAAATGTGGAGGTAGAAAATAAAAACAGTTGAAATGATTATTTACAGAAAGTTCAAGCCGCACTGGTCTTTCACCGATAAAAGAGTTAGAACAGAACTGGGAACACGGCTTCACCAGTCTCAACTGTCTGCGGTGGGCGCCGCAACCTGGCCAAGGTCTCGTCTACGCCAATAACACGGGACAACTCATTATCATGAGTTAAAAACAATCTATCGGATGTTTAGCATGTAAGAATTATTACTGGGCAACTTTAGGTAAGCTGTTAGCACGCTTCTGTATTACCCACGTACCAAATGACACGGAACTTGTACCACTTGACAGATCTTGGTAAATAGTTCCTTCAACATTCATGTTTTTTCATTGTAAATACTTTTAGCAAGAACTGAAGGTACCAAGTTATACTGAACAGGAAAAATGGATAATAAAATGGTCTTAACCTACATTCTTAGAACGACAGATTGAAGGAAGGAGGCCAGAGAAAAGGTAAATATCGTGCAATTATATCCAGGAGGAACATGGACTAGAGAAACTTGACGGTAGCTATAGAAGAATGAACACAATCCAAAGGAACTGTCAGAGGATTTACTATATGACTCCAAACGCAGATGAAGACAATTATTTCAGGTACAACTCTTATACGGAAGATACGAAGTGTTAACCTATATAACTTCCTACTAATTAAATGACATACAAATCGATGATAATATGTACGCTATCCCATACAAAGCTTTTGGCATGGGTAGGGTACTGAACACGCACATACAAAAAACCGGTTTTATGTGTGTTACAACACTGGTACTGATGCGTGCTGATTGAGTGTTAGTTGATCTTAATACAGCGAATGACAAAGGAGTTATAGGTAAATATACTAACACATGCTGTAAGTGTAATTTTTAATACAAGTATTTATTACTCAATATAATTTTGACGATATTTGATGAGAAAGAGTGCCATTTAAAATGCACTTTCCATTCATTTAGAAAAATACAAAAATATGTTGATTATAGTACTGCTGTCCTTATCCATAAACAACGTAATTGAAATTTTTATCGAAATTGAGTTATTGACAAATCTGGAATCAGCAAAACGAGATCTACCTCAGCAGTTTTTTAATATCTTATTTAGTTTCAGTTTTATTGTTAAGACAATTCAGCGTAATTGACATTTTCCAAAGAAATAAAAATTTTGCTTCCAATATCTCGAAAGTTACCGAAATGTAAATGCGTTGTTTATGACAAGTGGGGCAGAATAGTTCTTATATTTAAATGTTTCCCCTTTTCCAAACGTCGAGACGGAATAAAAGGAATTATATGCAGAACGCCAAAAATGCAAATACACAACATGTCAGTAATGCAAAATGTCTCACACAATAATCTCTTTTTCGACTGTGTAATTGGTAGTCACACGATACAGTCGTCATGCAATTCGTGTGACTACAACCTTAGTTATACGTGTTTACTTTATGTATTTTTGACATTCTTTGTATGATGCCTAAGAAGTAACCCAGTAAACATATTATGTTTATTATTACTTCCATAAAAACACTACTACTGCACTAATAAAAATACAATTCATTGCAATCAGCCTTAGGGAATGTTATTACTCTATACTTTATCCATAAACAATTGCCCGATAGAAAGCACAAATTCATAGTCTTGTCCCATTATTTCCGTTGAAGATGTACCAAATAACTTAAGAGCAATATATGTAGTTGCATTACAATACAAAATTGCAAAATAATATAATTTTAGTAGAGTTAGTTAGAGCTCTTAAAAAGCCGGTTAATATGACGAGATAATTACAACGAAAATTATGGAAGTATACAAAATTGACTGAAAAAACACGCTTGACTTGGATCGCGAGTAATATCTATAAAAGTTCTAGAAGGAAGCGATAGGTTTTTAGAAAGATTGTTTGTATTGAATGTATATAAAAAGAAATTAACGTGAGTAGGAATATTTTTTATTACTATTGGGGTATGTAGTATTCCCTATTGTATCTCGTTTATAAATTTTAAACTCATCGCAATTGTACCTTGTAATAGTTGAACCCAAATTATCGCTTTTCTTAGCTATTCATATACTAAGGGTCTAGCCAATAAACAATCAAGACCGAACATTGAAACCGTAAATAATATTACCACCTTTGTTTTTTAAGAAATTTGGTTAAGGGGTTTTTAATCAATTACCAACGGAAATGGCATCTATGACCGTCAAACACCCGGAAACCACCGCAATGTTCTATAAATTGAGTATGGGAGTCGCGTTTGTTTAGGAGTTGAAGGATGGTGATTGAAACTATTAAACTGAGGGTCTTTTTATGGAATTGAAACACAGAATAGTAGTTTTTTATTTATGAGACAACATGAAGCGCAATTGTCCAAATCAACGGAGTTAATTTGTATAAGGCTCAATTTACATTGCAGCGGAAGCGAATTTTTATAGCGATATTGTACATAGTATAATGAACTTTATGATCAATTGTTGTAACGTACAAACTAGATACAAGCCAAAAACAGGTTGTGCGCCTTCCGGAGAATTCTCGCGCACTAAGCATGCTCGAGAACGCTCGTGCATTGTAGAGTATGCTTAGTGTTGGGTCATAGAAAAATTGCCGTTTTGAAAAAATATTTTTCAGAAAAATAAATCTTTTCTTGGTATTTTTTCCAATATTTATCCAGTTTTGACGTTGACACCTGTCAAAAGTTAAATTTGCTTAACGAAAACGATGGAGCCATTAAAAAGGTTTCGTTGTTGTGTCTTTCTTTTCTTTCTCTACTTCTCAACTATACAAGTTTATTTTAAAATTCATGCTAATGAACCGTTGACCTACCAATAAGTGGAGATCGGGTCTAATACAAAAACCACGAAAAAAATGTCCGAAGTTAACCTATACAAACGTAATGACATATAACGAAATGTAAAAATGTGTCATTGCAATACTGCCCAATTTCGCTTGCAACAATTAAGGGCCCACAACACCATATTCAGCTTCCACTGGAAACTTACTTAATGCACCATATTTAGCTTCGACTGGAAATTACTTGAACACAAGAGTAATGGAATAACCTTTCTTGTAAATATTAATTAATTTTTATATATATTATTATGTCGAATTTTGTACAAATTCATTTAAAGGTATAATGAAGAGTTGGGCAGATACATACATACAAATATTACGACGAACGTGAAAATAAGCGTGTGCTATAAGAAATGTACCGGTATTCCAACTAAACGTAAACTTAAATATCCGTAATTCCGAAAACCGTTACGCTTTCGAATAATTTTGATGCTTTTCTCCAAGACAAAATTAACTTTTGTTTTGTAATCTCGTATCGTAAAAAAATACATTTGACATTATGATAATTCGAACTAACGTTATTTCGGGCAAATGTACAGACTTCTGATAGGTAATCCCAAGCCGTAAAACGAGTACAACAATATTTTGTTAGTTATTGGTAACGTTTAATAAAAAAATCATTATAAAAATAGGATCAAAGCGACTCCATAGTTTCTTCGTTCTAAATATTTCAATCGCTTGTGGTTCGAACAATTGAAAATGACCAAGAAGTTTATATAAGCTTCTTGAAACTGAAGTAATGGGTCTGTTTCCATCTTTTGCGCATGCAATGTGTAGAAAAAGGACAGTTAGCTATTTGATTATTTTGTGTGCTTTTGTAATTTATTTATATTTATATTATTAATTATATTTATAAATTAAATACTATAAAATTGTACAAAATAACACTTTTAAATGAGAACTATGATAACACAATATATTTGTTTAGTGAAAATATGATACAGAATCCTGTTTTTACTAAAATAAAAAAAATATAAATAAATATAAAATAAAAAAATAAAAATTACTGCAGTAACTTTTACAAGTTATTATTATATGGTACTGCATGATTGACAACCGCGCTGTCAGTCGAATAAACGAAGACCGTCGATTGACGCTCTGTATGCGATTTTAACGCCCTACAGGTGCGGACATTTTTTAGCGCGAACCCGACGACGTCCATATATTGGTAGGTCAATGTAATGAACCTTAAAATATATTTCTAAACGTAGGGCATAATATGAGTGTTCAAAATTATATTTTTCCAAATTTTCCCATTTTTCGGATTTTTTTCCGGAAATATTTCCACGATTTAAAATTTTTCGGGGAATTACCAACAGTAAGTATACTCGTGCATTGGCGGGAACTCCGCAGCAGCCGTCGGCGACGTTTGGCGAATCCACGGGAAGCAGTGAGATGTCAAACGTCTTCGAAATAGGTTGTGTACATACCGTGACAGACAAACACAGATTAAGATTTTTTTTATAACATCAAGTGACGGGACGAACAAGTGCGCGTGATGGTAAGCTACACGCCTGTCCGTAACAGTTACAGTGCCACTCGGAGCTTTAAACTGCAAAATCTAAGGTGCACCTCCACTGCGCCCGTCTCCCTGAGACATAAGTTAACAAGTCCCATGTGCCTGTAATTTCACTAGCGCCCTTATCCTTCAAAACCGGGACACAGTAATGCTGACATTACTACTTGGCGGCAGAAATAGATAAGGTGGCACTACTACCCTAGACGAACTCTTTCACAAGGCGCTCTGCTGCTACTAAATTAAATGACCTATTTGGCGTAAAAATATGATTGTTTCAATAGCTTGAAACTTTAGTGACTAAAATTCTAAATATAATGCACTGGAAAAAGTCATAAAAAGTAGGTGGACAGTGATATAAATCTTTGCGAAACAAATTGTCCAAAAAGTTTTCGGCAAATCATGACCTCAAATAAACGCACACGCGCACATACCAATAGCATAACCCATAACATTTAAATAGTTTGATAATAATGGAAACATATTGACTAAATATTTTGCTGGCATTAAAAATAAATAAGTATGGTTTACCATAACGCACAATTTTTTTTGGAGTAATAATAACAATATCGCAAACACTCAACATAGCCCCGCACTAGGGAAACCCCGTATCGCGGCTGCCATGGACACATAACATAGACAACCACAAATTACACGCAAACACGAGAGAAATAAATGTAGGCCATATAAACACTTCTCTCGGCCCGGGAATCGAAACCGGGACCTCTGCGTGGCAGTTCAGCATTTTAATCGTTTTTTTAATTTAAATATCCATTTTCTCTTTCTTTCTTTTCTCTTCTGCTTCAAAAATATGAGACAAAAAACATAAGCCTCTGCGTTAGCAGTCTGGTAAAAACAATATCCACGTCCATCAACTTTGTCATGTAAAAGATCTACACTAAACAACTGAACACCTAATACAGGCCCAAAGGCGCAGAGCATTCCCGCGACGGCGCGCGTCTTCACGCGTAGCGATACGAATTTATCTTTCATTCCGCCGCAATATAAATTGAGCCTAAGAGTGGTTGTCAATTCAAATACGTTGCATTCGGTCTGAACATTTTTGTTGGCCCGATTTTCATTATAAAAAAGTTTCTGTAGGTCTTACCCGATTTTGTATGGTAGTTCACAAAAATCAGTGTACTGATCTCTTTTACAATAGGCTTGAATTGGTATGTACGTCGATAAAATTATAATTAACTTGTAGTTCGATGTGAGACTCATCGCATGAGCGTAACATGATCAGCAAAGCAAAAAAAAATTGTATATTATATTGTAAGTTGTGATTATTTTTGTCCATTGTAATAATATATTGTTTTGAGTACCAGCATTGTTTTGTACAACAATGTGAAAAATGTCGTATCTCAAGAAGTTTTATTTTTGACATAATTCTTTATTCAATCCCACTAACCTACCAACAAATAGGTCAATGTTCAATCCATTTAATTTTAAATTCTTAAACGATCCCTTGGATTTTTCCTTAAAGATTTTATCAACGGCTGTGTTACGTTTGTGCGCAGGTCTTTAGATGTTTAGAATAACTAAATATTTATTAATAACATCTAGTTATATTACTATAAAATAGTCTTAAGGTTTTAGTTGAATATGTTCAGTTAATATGCCTTATTTTGTTGTTGCCTCATAAATGTTTATAAGTAGATTTCCAAGTTTACGATTATTTTCTATTTAAAAATCTATGTGTTTTTTTTCATCACAGCATTACAGTATGGATTGCGTTGAATAATATTGTTTCGTGCTTTAAAAATGGGAATGAGGCAGTGATTAATTTGTCATTATCAGTTCTTCCATAATTTATAGTTTTAGTTTTGATTTAAAATTTACTTATGTTACTATTGTGTTGAGGTGGCAATGTGAACCATCACATTTATAATTCAGTCTGTAATAGAGCCTATTTATTCTTATTAAAATTAACCATATCTACATGTAAATCTTATTACGCGCAGATTGAAATTATTTTATGTTTAAGAGACTTGAGTTTTTTCCAGACCAGGGTATAAAGGTTACATTTTATTTAAAAGCCCTGTAAAAAATCTGAAGAAGGATTTTCTTTTTCCTGTAAATTTGTGTACGTAGCGCAATATCAATCATGTCACACAAGAACCCCTCTCCTTCGCTCCTACATATTTGGTAAGCTGAACTCGAATATGCTCACGCGATCCAGTAGAAACAACCTGCTGCGCTCGTGTGCACTTCAAAAAGCTACGATATTTAAAAAGTGATAAATTATTTTCTTCTGTCATTTAAGGTATAGAGTTCATTTCACCGACATGTAGTAAAACTGTTGGTTTTCGGAAACGTTTGTTTTTTTGGAACGAAAGCTCCAAACTTTGCATTCTACTTCGGATATTTTACAGATGGAAAACATGTCTTGTATAGTTCCAAGTGAGATATGTTGTACATTTGATTACTCTGCTTGTCTTTCAAATAAAAATCTTGATGGTATCCCTAACACTTCTTTCATTAAAATATGTATGCAATATTCAATATGCACTATTCCAGTGTTACCAGAATTGAATTAAAGAAAAATTAGGGCATAAATCGTGATTTAGCCATAACATGTGCAACCTTAAAAGTGAATCGGTCGGATCTGTTGCAAAATTCTAGAATTGATCTCTTTGTTTAGATATTATATTTATTTTCACAACGTAGAGTTCATATACTTTATTTTACACATCATACACTCGTTAACATTGTTTTTTAATACGTCACGAAACCAAATATAGTCACAAGTCGTAACTCGAAATTGTGGAATTGAGAAAACTCGATTTGAAAATTTAAAAAACTTTTTTTAACTTTTAAACGAGTTTTCTCAATCTCATAATTTTGAGTTGCGACTAGTCTTGGATTGTAGAAAAATTTTCATTTTGAAAATAATATTTTTCCACATATGACAGTTGATACTTGTCAAAAGTTGAAGACACTGAACCAAAACAATGGAGCACTGGAGCATTGTAAGTCAATGATTGGAGCCATTAAAAATATTTTTTTGCCTGCATTTTTTTGTCCACTCATTTTAAATCTCGTTTTTCTCTAACTTGCTTTTAGCTAAAATTTTAACCCTAAATAAAATTTCAAAACATATTTTTAAACGTAGAACAAAATAATATGAGCTTTTGAATTATATTTTTCCAATTTTTCAGATTTTCCGGAAAAAATTCCTCTACATGAAATTAATCAGAAAATTACCCAACTCTAGCTACGACAGGATTTGGTTTCATGCGCGATGAACTTAGTAGAATAAATCATACTTTGAAGCCCTTCGAAATAATTGGTCTACTTTCCCGATCTGTCCACTTATTTTTCCCGATTCGTCTACTTTCCTCTTTGGTCTACTTTCCCATTTTGTCTACTTTCCTGTTTAGTATATTTTCTCGTTTGGTCTACTTTCCCATTTGGTCTACTTTCCCAATAGGTTCACTTTAATGATGCGTCTACTCAGATAATCTCAGTACAGAGTACTAAAAAAAACCGACCTCAATAGTTTGTGGAATTACATCTATTTGCCAAGTTTTTATTAAAATCGATTACCAGAAAGTGCGCGAAACCGGATTCACCGCCTAGTTTGCCACCTTTAGAGGTACAATATTTTTTCAAAATGGGACCCCTACTGAGGTACTTACTCTCTTTCCAACAAAAAAGGATCATAAAAATCGGTTCACAAATCCGGCCGGAGTTATCGTGTAACATACATACAAAAAAAAAATATAGTCGATTGAGTACTTCCTCCTTTTTTAAGCCGGTTAAAAACTGTCTACTTGATTTTGTTTTTTCAAATCATGGTTAACGTAAAGCGGCTATTAATATCGAAAATATAAAAAATATAATCCATGACAATCTGCAATTATGCAATCACCTGTTTTTGAAAATTTGTAAAGCGGACATGCCAATGGTGGAGCATTTGGACAAGTGAACCGATCGGGAAAGTAGACCGATCTAGAAAGTAGGCGAAATGGGAAATGGACTAATCGGGAAATACAAGTGGACCAATCGGGAATGTGGACCGATCGGGTAAGTAGACGTATCGGGAAAGTGGACCATTTGGACAAGTTGAACTGATCGGGAAAGTAGACGAATAGTGAAAGTGGACTGATTGGGAAAGTAGACCGATTGTACCGAAGTGCTTTGAAATATGGGTACGCCGGAATAAGATAGTAAGTAGAAGTCTTACTAAAAGACAGGTAACTTTAAAACGGCGGACTGACTAATCTACTTTTTTTTAGAACAGACTAGTAAAATTTTAAAAATTTGATTATGATGACGCTAGAACACGGCGCGATAATTAAAATAAAGCAGAGAAACTTAAAAATAAAGCAATAAGTGATATAAATATCTTATTGTATTCAGTTTCGATAGAATGTAATTGCATTTATGACACTGACAAAATAAAACGTTATACATTCAAATTATGATACAGAAATTTGGACAGATATTGTACTTACATAAGAAACATATTTTATGTATTTAATTTTTCACTAAGTAAATAAAATATATCAGACTCGAATTAAATAGCTATAATAGATGAAAATATACAACCATCGTATATCAGGAAACTTATTGAAGATACCATACACACTTTTCAGTTTTAACAATTTAATTTACCGACATTGATTTACGATATAAAAAAAACAATAGTTACGAATGACATTAATGGTATCGAGATGTTAACTTTCGGATCGGCAACCTACTTTTTGTCGAATTTACTTCTAGAAACCATAACATAGTAAGCTAAACGTGACAAAATATAATATTTCGATGCGACTCTGGAGCCGTCACTAAACACGTCATAAAAACTAAACATGGTTTTAACAACTTACAAAACATATAAGTCAAACCATTAAAATAAGTAACACTAATACCTACAAATCTTTATTAAAAATGTTAATTTGCTCGTAGCACAAATATACTCTTCCCTGACTGATCACAGACCAAATGTAAAATCCGTTTAGAAATCTAATTGTTGCTGAACCTTGTGGCTGGCGCGAAGCCCTGCGCACGACACCCTCTTGGTGACTTAGAAGCGTTTAAATATTATAGCATCTATAACTAACTTCTTTTTGAGGAGGAAGTGGCGAAAATGAAATGCAATAGTCGTTAGTGTTCCACCGGCTTGAGCTCTTTGATTTGCTTTATAAGGTAAGCCTTTTCGTCATTGAACTGCTCGTCCTCGGAACGATCTGTGTGGAACTTGGTAAGGAAATCTACCAGCTTGTCTTGATTTCTTAGCAGGATATCCAGGATTGGTTTTGGTTTATTTGGGTTGGCTACGAATACCTGAAACAATGTATGTTACCAATAATAAGACCTCATTACATATTATGTAACTTGTCTTGAATAAACCTTTTAGGTTAAAAGGTTTATTCAAGACAAGTTACATAATATTATAACTATAATAATTTAATTTTAATGTTTTAAGATTCTGCAAACTACAGTGGGAAACGCGTCAAACGCCCAATGGACATTAAAATGTAATAATTAATTACATGCTTCAGGCTCAAGTAAGAATGCCTTCAGTTTTGTATGAAAAATGTACTTTTGTGGATGTTTTCTAGGTCATATAACAATAATAATAATTTACAATGGGCTGCAGAATGTACTCTTCAAGTTTTACGATATTTTTTGTTTTCATTTTTGTTACAGACATTCAAAATTATTTCTAAAAAAATTATATACACACCATCCTTTTGTTAATTTTGTATTGATATAAAATTGTTTATATTTTTTACTAAAATTGTTTACTAATCTGTCGTGTATTTATAGGTTTATAAGAGACTTGTCCAGCACTAAGACAAACCGATGTAGGTTTAGGGATGTGAAGAAAAGATGTGATATAATATAATTGAATAAAATAAAATAGATGAAGACGATACAGTCGAACTAGGAAGTCCTTTATCTCAACATGTAGTGCCTTTCCTCTTGATAAAAGCAATGTAATATATATTGAATATAATATAGTTGTAAAGATGAATGCGATATTATTTATTATAATAATGTACACTGGGCATTTACTTGATCATAGGAATAATATTGTGTGGGTCTGAATCACTTCACATATTATGTACATTTTGATGTTCACGGGGCCTTAAGAGTTTAATGCAATTTTTACACGCTACACGATTCTAATAAACGTAACATGTGTTCACTCAAATTATTAACTCGCTGCAGACTAGGCCATAAATACTCAGAGCGGGAATGCAATATTGTGCTCTCTCTCCAACTTGCTTAGTGTTGAGCGTATGCGACGGATGTCCAAGCCCGTTATTGAAAAAAAAAGTAGTTATGAGCGCTGTTGTTGCGGAGTTCTATGAGTAATTTATTATCTGTTGTTGTTTAATATTGCAACCTTGTTTATTTTAATACAATCCTTAACAATAATGTGTTAACATTTTTGATGGAAATTAAAGATTCCATCGATCTTCTAACGTACGTCTTCTAAATCGATAGCATATTTATCAACTGTAGCAATGCACAGCCCTGCGTTTACATCACAGAGCAATAAATATAATAGAAGTGCTGAGTTTGCCTGTCACGTGTGCCAATAGTTCCCGAAGTTCCGCAAACTTCACCTCAGTCCACCATTTTCGCTTTGTACGTTATAACTTATAACCTTATAACTTGGACCTTTTCAAGGCGAGACTGAATAGACATTATTTAGGTGTGCATGTATACCGTCATCATCACTTTTCATCAGATGAGATGGAGGTCATTTGTGCATTTGCGCAGTTATTTTTTTTACGAGTATATCAGGTTAAAACCCGGTGCTTTGTTAATGCCAAGTTTTAATCGGGTTGAAACCCATTAAAGCCCGAAGTCGATAGCACAAACTATATACAACTAAATATTTGTAAATTTTTTTTTGTTAAAATGTAATGATATTATTATAAAGTGTTTATTGCTTGCTTACATATTTTGCCTTCCTAAATTCACATTGAAATCAATCGATACAAAAACGTTATCGTATACACTTGAATCAATTTTCACAAAAATCGAATCGTAATGTGCATCCCCAGTAGTGAGAGTTGACAGGATTGCAAGGTGGGTATTGTGTGGAGTTACCTCTTTTTCGTCTAAAAAAGATTTTCTATACCGAAATATCTAATAAGTATGGAATTTTACCAAATGTCTTATTATTTTACGCGTTTAATGTCGCAAGCGCAAAGGCGCAAGCCTACGATATAGGGCGGAAAGGGTCAAAACCTTTGGGTAAAACCCCGTGCGGGTTGATTAGGTTTTGACCCACTGCCCATCTCTAATGCGAACGTACCTTGAAAACATGGAAAGCTTCAAACTGTATGTTACGTGACTTCTCTTTAAGCATATTCATCATCAGCTTAAGATTGTCAGGGTTGGTGATGTAACGGGTCATAATGGAGAAATTGTGTCGGTCCAGTAGCAATTCGCCAAGGAGTTTTAGGCTCTGCCGTCGAGTCACATAGTTCTCGGAATTCAAAAGTCGCTGATAGTGGCTGAACACTTTGTCGTAGTTAGCTTCTAGAAACTCGGCGCACAACATTTTGTGTCGCGTTAGCAATTCCTGGAAATACAAATGATACAACTATAACACTTTATTCCTTGCTCAGTTTTTACTTCGCGTGCTATTTAGCAGGTTTAGCGGCAAGTCCTCCATCGTCAATTGTGATACGAGTAGCGGCTGAAAAGTGTCTTGAACATCAGTACCTTCGTGCCATCTGATCCTATAAAGGGGCTCCAACTGAAATCAGTGTCATAGCAGTGGAGCTGTGACATATCGTCGCCTTACTTTCTCAAACTCTTATCTTAAAAAAAAGTAACTGAAATGCAAAAAATGTATTGTATTTGTATACACATATTTGCAGAATGATTTCACATCACATTTCCTTCACATTCACACACTGGCTTTTACCTATTCTTAAAGTAATGCATCCAAATTTACATCCTTGATAAGAAATTTAAAATAAATAGAAATTCTTGCCATATGCTGAGTTGGATCCGTTTCAGCTTATAATTTTAATCATTAATTTATTCTCTATAAGTCTTAATAAGCTGAATTCTTTCTTTCATGATCGTGATGTATTCGTGGTACAACTTTTTTTTTAAAGTTAGTGATACTCTATGTTCGCTTTGCATGGACACCATGTCGGAAAAAAAAGCAAAATGTTTAAAAATTAGCAACTACTTTTTTTAACAAATTAATGTGCCTTTACAACAAATATAATTAGCGCTTTTCCCTTACTGGGATATTGAATTAAAAGTAGCTATGGTCGTCTTTTATTATATACTTAAACATATTACTTTTCAGCCACCTATCGTATTTTAAAAAAAGTTGATAATGTTTGCGATACTTGTAACAGTCTCTAAATATGTATCTAAATTTAAAACCTCACTTATCTGACTACAGAATAGTGACACAAAATATTTAAATATTACAAACCTTAAAAGTAGAAAAGGCATCTGAGGCAATATCAAAAGTGGATACTTCTACATAACGGAAGAAATTGTAAAAATCGTCAGAATACAGCATTATCTTGGCCAAGGCTTCGTATCGTGCGCACTCCCGCAGCATAGTTCCACAGTTTGAAGCAATCTCTTGGTGTTCATACCTGCAATGCAATAAATGTCATAAACAATAATGAGCAATAACATTCGCATTTCCAGTGACGAAGAGAATCACCTGTATTATCTGAAGATATCTTTCTCTTTTCTTGGCTTTTCGCCATTACAGTTTCAGCCACTTGTTTTCAAAACGACGAAACTTATAACAACTTATTATTGATGAAATTTGGAAACGCGTTTTAGTAAGGTGGGGCAAAAGAGGGATCAGGCAAGGCACTATGAGATATAAATAAACAATTAGTACATATAAATATAATATAAACATTATATTATTATTACCTATAACAGCTACGTTTGTAAACCACTTATATAGTGACTTAATTATAAGGCAAAGCGCACACTGCAGGTAAAGCGCGGCATTTTGCCCGAAAATGTGTAAAGTAAACTTATGAATATTTACATAACAATTAATGCCGCAAACAAAACTGCGTTGCCAGATGTCTTTGTTGCAGCCGTCTGCAGGACGACTTCGCAATTATAGCTGGAAGCTATTGTATAAATGGAGCGCTAAAGACATCTATACTTAGCAATGGATGATATGCAAGTTCAACGGATAGATAGAGATCAACTGGAGCACCAACATACCTGTTGGTTTGGTACCAATAGACATTTAATACCTAATATAACAGAATGAAAGTCTGTTAATAAGTACAAACGAGAAAGCTTCCAATTAGTCTCTATTGTGCAGGCAAAAATACACTTACCCAGACATCAAAGTGAAGAGTATCTCTGGTTTGGTACATATGTACTCAACCGTAGGCGACCGCGTGCCGATCTGACGCCTTAAGACATTGTTGAACACCTGTGCTACATCCTTTTTCCCTTCAAAGTCGATGCGGTTAAGGTTCTAAAAAAACATTCACAGTTACAAAAAAAAGAAATTTATGATTCTTGCGTGATTATTTTTAAAATGTAAAACTTGACAAGATACCTTTGGTCCCTGAAGTGGTAGCATTAGTATGTATGTAATTATTTTAAATTTCGGAATATGACCAGGGATCTACCTTGACACCTTACACATGCGATGAGTCAGCGGCTTAATAATGGTTATATACCTGAATAAGGAACAGCAGCAGGTTTGTGTTGTATAGTTCTTGTGCCAGTTGGGCAACGATGATGTCCGTCTGGGGCTCTGCATCGGATGTTCCATACAGCATGTTCTTTATTAATAACTAATGAAAAAAACATTGTATCCAGTGAGTATGAGTATAAATAATTATTGATAATTTTATATAGCATCAGTATGTATAGTGAGTGATTGTCATGTCAATTTCAGTCTAACCATAAATACACAACTCATTGCAATATTACGTGAATTTGAAGAAGTAATAGTTGGCCTATATATTGTCCCACTGCTGGGCACAGACCTCCTGTCACAACGAGAGGCCTTGGGTTGGGAACTACCCACGCGGACCCAATGGGGATTGGGAACTTCACACACATCATTCAATTGCTTTGCAGATGTGTGCAGATTTCCTCACAATGTTTTCCTTTCCCGAAACAACACCAATGGTAAATTTTAAATTAAATTTCAGACATAAATTCTCAAAAACTTAGTGGTGTATGCCCGGATTTGAACCCACGATCCTCTGCTTGAGAGGCGATAGGTTAACCCATTAGGCTACCCAGCTTTGTTTCTTTTCCATATGCGTGCATTAACATATGGTAGGTCAATGTATACACGTATGTAATTAAAGGTGTGCTCCCTGAGTTTTACAATACTTAAGAGCTCTCATGCCAAAAAAGTTTTGACGTTGGCTCCGCCCAAATTTGTGAAACAAATATATGCCTGAAGTTCGCGTGACATGCGACAGATGTTGAATTTTGCGCATTAAAAGTACCAAATTCGTTTTAGCGGAATAACTTTTCTTAATCCCTTAAAAAAATCCGTAGTGACAGTTGTCGATCATGTATAAATATAATTAATTATCTAATTTTTGTCCTAATAATCTGTAGCATTTCGAGGATAAATCGAAAAAATGTGATAATTAGAGGTCATTTCGTGATTTTTATCTATCGAGGAAACTTTAATGTTTTATGTTTCTGATTAATGTCTATGCTTGAATATATCGTATTTACTCGTACAATATTTTATTTTTAACTTTAAAGTGGATATACCCCTCCAAAATCAAATCGAAGATTAGGAATTTTTCCTCTGCTCCCTCTTAATCCAACACTACCTCTTTTGTTGTTTATAAAGAATGGACCAACAACTCAAGAGGATTGCTAATGACGATACAAGACAGCGCGTAGTCGGGTATTTAGTACCTATTAGTATACCAAATGGCGCGATGAGTACCAAATAGGTATTTTGATAAATAATTTGATCTACATCAACGAGTTGCAATTGGACAAAGCTATTCTAATTTCTAGTAATAACAAACAAATCATATAAATAATAAAAATTACTTCCAAGCTATTGATCAGCGTCATCTGCATATAAGATGGGATTTTTGACCTTTTTCAGAATTACGACCTGCAATATGGATATTAGCAGTCCTCTAGAATTATTGATCCCTGATAATAATTTAAAAAATATTTTCTATTGCTGCACTCTAGGCATCAAAACTAACACGCAAAAAGAGTGCATGCGTATGTTATGTATGCCATCTCACTTACAAAATTATGGAAACTATATAGACTGAGCAAGGAAAATTTTCTAATAAAAAGATTATAATTACCCTCGCTACATATCAACTTAAAATATATTATAATGCATCTCACTTTTACATAAAATTTAATAGTCGTTGTTGTTGTTGTTGTAAACAATACAACCTTAAGTATCATAAATCTATGACTAGCTCGTTATATTGTTGATTTTGTTGTGAATATTCCTAAACATTAATTCATTGTATTCTAAAGTTATTTTCACTATTGACTGACTTCAATACTTATTAGCATATACACACATAGATTTTCTTTTGTGACAAAGTCTAAAAGTTATCTTTTCAGTAATGGTAAAAACGGCTGTAGGTACTTAATGGTACTTTATAGTACCAGCTCTTTTTATGTTCCTGAACAGAAACCAAACCATTTTAAATAAACCTACACTAAGTGCTGTGTTACAAGTAACAATTTCAAAATTAGTTAAAGACGTCCCTTTTTTCTGGTGATTATTATAGAACTCATATACACTTCCAGACACATCATTCGAGCCACCACGCATTTGCAGTATTATGTGCCCTACTAAGCTTAAACAATGTTTGGTTGATCAAAAACCATTACACAAATTTGAAACCAGTACACTAAACTACTTTTCCATAAGTCCTTCTTGGGAATTTAGATTTGCAAAACCAGGGGAAAACTTTTTCTTCTATGATAACACTATTTTTGTATTTTAGCCTCTTACGACGAAAATGCGAGGTGGCTCGAATTATGTGCCCAGGAGTATATAATAAGGTCATTTATTATCTCCCAAAATGTACAAAACATAAGTAAATGATTGAAGGCAGGAGCACAAAGTAGGTATGCGACTATTATAGTATAAGAAATTCATCCACAAAAACCAAACCAGTGTTTCTGTTGGTGCACAAGGCTCTAATTATTAGCTACACTACAGTATATTGGCCACTATACTATAGTACCTAACAATAAACAACTTTTTGACATTATTGTCCTATTTAAAGTGTAAGTACAGGTGATTCATAAGACAATAATGTAGGTACTACATGAGCTTGTCACTTCAGTGTTTAGCTTATACTGCCATGTATAATTAAACACTGATAAATGGAATAAGGAACTAGGACAATCAAGACCACATGGGACTTCAATTTTAAGTTTGAAACCTAATTGTAACATTTAAGATAAGAATATCATGCTCTTGACTGTACATACTGATAAAAAATGCAATTTGAATATTATAAGCAAGTGTTTATTATTCATGGCTTTTAGTGTACACAACAAAACAAACACACCATATACAGAATAACTATGGATTAATTATCCATTTTATTGTGATGACTTGATGAGTGAAATTCATGAATACTATACAGATTATTAAATATCAATCAATTCACTTTACAAACATTCTTTCTATACTTAGATAATACAAAAATTACAACAAGAAACCTAACAAACTGATAACCCATGGCAAGGCTTGATTTTATAATACGACGGTAATGTTTCGTCTCGCCCTCCAAAATGTTTTCTACAACGCAATGTCGTAAAACGGATCAAATACATATTCACTTACCAAGTTCTTGCTCACATCTTCCTGTGCCTTCTCTGCCTTCTTATCGCCCCTTTCTAGCGCCGTCACTGCATCCTTCAACGATCTGACAAGCTCCGCTGGGCTCTTCTGGGACTTACCAAAAAGAGGCATAGTATTTTTGCGGTAATTTAGACAAGATCTAAGTAATTCTGTCTACATAAGATTGTACCTGTAATCACCAAGCAAAACGCATAAAAGACAATCGCACTGCATCACAAACATCATAAAATTGTACATGTACTACTTGCATTTGATATTCACGAGAAGGCAAGAGAAATAAAATGAGATTTGACAAATTTACCAAACCTTTTCAAACTTGACGTATTAGTCACACAATGTTACGCTACTTCACGCCCCATTGAATTTCTTAGTAAAAGAAAAGGAAATACACAAATGATGCGGAATATAACTTACTTTCAGAATAAAAATTACAATTATTCCTAGCGAGACGGACCACAGGCGTAACGAACAGCTGTGATGTCAATACAAATGTTGCCATTTCAATTTAATTCGATATTTTGTGTTCGGATATTTACTCGGTTCTGAAAATGAGAACTTTATTTTGAACCTAAGTTTTATTTTATATAGTGCATATATAGTGAGTGAGTAATCCTAGATAAATGTGTCTGTGGAGTAACCACTCTGCTGCTCAAAATTGTCTATGACTATAATTATTCACTCACTGATTCATTTACGTGTAAAAAAATTTTGAGGTTGGAGTTGTGTGTTGGAGCTAGGCTTTCTCGCACGTTATTATCTCTAAAGCGTAATCAAAAAGTATTAGCCTCGTCATGGCAGATTCTTCCAGCGAAACAATATCAAAGAAGTGAGTATTGTGAGTGATAATGATTACTACAAGAACTTTTGCCGCCATAACTGGCGTTTGTAGGCATCAAATTTCGTTCAGCCGTTTGATAAATTTTTCTACTGCAATCAGCAAACGGTTGGTTGATTTCGTTATTATGTGGCTTGTTATATTATTTAAACTCAGGCCTTACGTTGTATGTGTTTTGTAGCGAATTAAAGAGGCGGCTAAAAGCTGAACAAAAACTGAAGGAGAAAACCGAAAAGGCCGCAGAGCAGCTGGTCGCGCCAGCTGCTGAAAAGAAAGCCTTAAAGGCGGCGGAGGAAGAAATCAGCCCTAATGAGTATTACAAACTTCGCACGGCTGCCATCTCGGCACTCAAGAAAGGCCCGAAAGAAGACCATCCCTACCCACACAAATTCAATGTTTCGATCTCATTGGAAGAGTTTATTGAAACCTACAAAAATTTGCAAAGTGGAGAAGTATTAGAAAATGTAACTGTATCTGTGGCTGGTAGAGTCCATTCTATAAGACAGTCTGGTGCTAAACTAATTTTTTATGATTTAAGAGGAGAGGGTGTCAAACTTCAGGTTTGTTTTGTATTCAATAATAGGTTTTTATTTATAAATATTTAGTTACAAATAATAACCTATAAGAAACAATAACTTCAGTTGTTAGTAAATAATTATTACATCATAACTTTCAGGTAATGGCAAATGCAAAAATGTATGAATCTGAAGACAAATTTGAAATGGACACTGACAAGCTGCGGAGAGGTGACATCATTGGTTGTGTGGGGCATCCTGGCAAGACCAAGAAGGGAGAACTCTCCATCATCCCCAGATCCATTAAGCTCCTAGCTCCTTGCCTTCACATGCTTCCACATCTACACTTTGGACTTAAGGATAAAGAAACGAGATTTAGGAAGAGATATTTAGATTTGATCTTAAATGATAAGGTTTTTTATTTGCTATTATTAAATGTTTTATTATAATGACTAATAATTTCATGTTTGAAGTGTCTGAGCAAAAAAACCTTTAAGTCACATTTTGATTTGTTCTTCTCTTAACGCCAATTTGTAGTTTTTGTACATATATTAGGACACATCCACTAAATGACTGTAGACGAAATTAGAATCAAAATTTTCTGGATTTATTAGTTTTCTTTCGAAGTTCATTTGTAACAAAAATTTTACAATATCTTTTCTAGGTTAGACAAATCTTCTATACCAGAGCAAAAATTATATCTTATGTGAGGAGGTTTTTTGATAATCTGGGCTTCCTGGAAATAGAGACACCAATGATGAACATGATTCCCGGAGGAGCTGCGGCCAAGCCGTTCGTCACACATCACAATGATTTGAACATGGATTTGTATATGAGGATTGCTCCAGAGTTGTATCACAAGATGTTAGTTGTCGGTGGCCTGGACAGAGTATATGAAATTGGAAGACAGTTCAGGAATGAAGGCATTGATTTAACTCACAATCCTGAGTTCACAACTTGTGAATTTTATATAGCTTATGCAGATTACAATGATGTTATTGTTATAACAGAAAGCTTAATTTCTGGTATGGTGAAAAGTATTCATGGTACATACAAGGTACATATTTTTTTTATTATTAAGGTACAACATTACAGCTTCTAAGAGATAACATACCCTAATAAATATTTCCAGATTAAATATCATCCAGATGGACCAGATGGTGAGGAGGTGGAAATAGATTTTACACCTCCTTTTGCAAGAATGCCCATGATTCCTACTTTAGAGAAAGCTCTTGGTGTTAAATTACCTCCAGCAGACCAGTTCACTACACCTGAAGTAAATGCTTTGCTCTGTCAATTGTGTGAAAAACATGAGGTAAAAATAGAATTTTTAAATATCTTAAATTACAATCTTTTATAATTAAGTTCTAAGTTTTTTCCATTTTATTCAATTAATGCATGATGCATTAAGAACTCAAATAATAAGGCTTTTGTTTGTAGGTGGAGTGTCCACCACCAAGGACTACAGCAAGATTGTTAGATAAATTGGTTGGTGAATTCCTAGAAGAAAAGTGTATTAACCCAACATTTATTTTAGACCATCCACAAATCATGAGTCCTTTGTCTAAATATCATCGTGATTTGCCTGGATTGACTGAGAGGCAAGACTGTTATTTATTGCATCATATTATTGTGCTAATGGACCACGCATGTGATTAATGATGACCTAATTCTTATCTTATTGTGCACTTTTTACTTTTATCTCTACAAAGTATGACAACCATGCTTACAGATTTGAGCTGTTTATTATGAAGAAAGAAGTATGCAATGCATATACAGAATTAAATGACCCGGAAACGCAGAGAGAGCGGTTTGAGCAGCAAGCAAAGGATCGTGCAGCTGGTGATGATGAAGCACCACCATCTGATGAAGGTTTCTGCACAGCTTTGGAGTATGGCCTCCCACCTACTGGAGGCTGGGGAATGGGCATTGATCGCTTAACCATGTTCCTTACAGACTCCAATAATATCAAGGCTAGTAGAGCAATTTAGTATATAAACAAGTTTAGAGCAGGGTTTCCCAACATTTTTTTCTAGTCATGGACCCCCCTCAAAATGACAAAGAGCCCATGGATCCTTTCGAATAAGATAAAAAGCTAGGTTTAGCTTTTACAAGCTTATATTGTTTGCAGTAAACTTTACTTCATTAAATATGGATAGTTGGTGTGACATTGCTGTTCCATTATGTTAGGTAAGCTCGCCATGGACCCCCAGCATTTAGGGGTCCATGGACCACAGGTTAGGAATCGCTGGTTTAGAGTAACTTACAGTCCTTGTAAGGGGTAACTTAAGGTTATTAAGTCATACTTAAAACACTGCCCTGCACAGGAATAAAGACATGTTATTGATGTAGTGGATACAATACTCCATTCATAGTTCACATCTACATTATTGAAGATCTTAATTATTACTTTTGAGTGATGTGATGTATTGAAATCTTAAACTGTTTTTTTCAGGAGGTCTTGCTGTTTCCGGCAATGAAACCTGATGAGCCCAATAAAAATACTGAAGAAAATGCAGCAGAAAATTCAGTACAAAATGGAGCATAATAGTTTTTAAGTGTGTATTATTTGTGTTCTTTGTTGACCTGCTATTGTAAACCTTTATATTGTTTTGAATTATAATGTAATAAATTATTACTATTATATGTACACTAGAACATGCAACTTTCTATTTGTATAATTAAACACAGAAGTTAGAATTTTTCTGTATTTTCAGTTTTACATGGTCATGAAAGACATGGGTGTATTGTATAAAAAAACTGAACAAATAATTTAAATACACCTCTAAATACTATTACATGTGCTTGAGTGGTATAAATTTATTTTTCTACATTTGCATCATTTTCTATGTCTACAGGACATGTTGAATTGTAATGTTCACCTAGGCTGTACATATGTCTATGATAAGATATTACTAAGGGTGGGCCTGGAAATTCGTCTCCTTGCTGAATAGAGTCTGGCCCAGTTGCTTGCACAACATTAATAGGACATTTTAAAGAATTTGATAATGCTTTGATTTCCAACTGGCCACCCCAGACTTTAGTACTGGTAATTTTATTGCAATAATCTTCAAATTCAGCTTCAGTGAGCATATCACAAGTTTTAGGGTTACTCATGAATGGCAAAAAACCATCCTTGTGTTCTCTGATGTACTCTGCAACATTCTTTCTAAGTTCATCAACAGACAGCGATTTTTGTCGAGTGCTTTCTAATTGATGGGCAACAGCTTTATATAAGCAGTCCCCGTCTGACGGTATTGGGAATATTCTCAACTTGCTTTTCTGTAATTTTTCCGAAACAGCCTGAAGTTCCAGGTTCCTGGGCCCATTGATGTTCTCTTTCTCCTGCAACTTTATTTGTTCCTCCCTTTCTTTCTCTTGTAATATTTTTTTGTCTCTCCGTTTCTGAGCCTTAGAGATTTTTAGTTTCGCTATTTCATTATCGATTGATTCAATGTTTTCGGCGTCAGAAGTTTTCTGAACTGCTTCGAGTTCTTGTTTGTGACGAATCTCTAGCGCAGTCTCCAGCCTGGCTATTTCAGCAGTAACTTCTTTCTTCTTAGTTTTGTCATTCTTTGCAGTTTTTTTTAGAGCTTGTATTTGTGCCTGTAATTCCTTCTTTTCTTTTTTATGCCTATTCTCAACAGATGTTAGTTCGTAACATTGGTCTTCCATTATTTAAATAACAATTTTTTCAAAAATTTTTAATTTGCCATTTAAAAATCTAACATTTTTTATGTCTGAAATACGATTAAAATTTTGAGGTTAAAATTTTTTTCTTCTTTCCATAAAGGAAAAGGCAAAGGTTTTACACCATACAGCCAAGTCTTGGCACATTATTCTTTTTTGGTACCTACATGAATTATGTTTCTGTAAATACTGTATAGGCCGCCACAAAGAGGATAGGCAATTTGAGGCGGCGCGCTTGGATTGACTCGGGATTCCTTAGAACGGGCCGATACGGGTATTTTAGTTCGAGATTCGTATAATTTCGCGTTTTAATCTTCGATTAAGGCACAATAGCACTATCCTATTCCACTTTAAACTAGATTTCACAAAATAATTGAAAGTCAAAATAAAAACGACACTTTTCCCTCCAAAAGGTCCAGAGCGAAATCTTTTGAGGTTAAAACATGATTTGACATTTGACAGATGATGAGAACGAGAACCGCTATATAAGTTGGGTACCTAATTTTCCAAAAAATTTCAAATAGTGGAAATTTTTCCAGAAAAATTCCCGTAAAATTAGAATAATTTTTAAAATTGGAAAGATTTATTTAGATAGGCACATATCATGGTCAAAATTTTTGAAACATCTTTTGAAGTTTTATTTGGCGTGAATTATAAAATAAACTTGTAAATCACAATTGTAAATCTTTTAGATTTACAAGTTAGCCACTTATTATAGAATAATATTACCCAACAGTATTCACAGCTTTTAAAAAATGGTCTTTATAATTGTATGGGTCGTATTCCAGAACTCTACTCAATGCTCAAGTCCACTAGTGCTTTAAATCATACTCCAATCCTGACTCCAATACGACCCTATAATTCTGTTCCATAAAATAAAGAGATGAGAAAGAGATAGCGTTATTCTGGAAACTATACTTTTGACTGTTTGGACCGTAGACGACCGTCTAGTTTGGACCGCTTTTTTAATCTGTAGTTCACTATGTAGTCTGTGATTGTGATTCTGTAAAGTGAGGTAAGGTGAGGTGAGGGTGGGAGGAGAAAGAATATTTAGCGCTGGATGGATCGTCTTGTTGTGATTGTTTAAAACATTTTATAAACTACTATAATAGTAATAATGAATCCCTGCACCATGGCTAGCCCTCAAGTGGACACTGATGGTGACGGGCGGTGGAACAGTATTGTAAGTTACGAGATAACAATTTTTCGCATGCACTTGTGAATCTACGTGGTTCCGAATACATTTAGAAGGAATCTGCATTTTTCCAACTAAAAGTCCTAACTGTATTCGTTACAGCATAACAGGTTTCTATCAGATGCTAAGGGAAAGGAAGCCGATGTCATATTTATGGGCGATTCTATTTTACAAGCTTTAGAACATACTGAAGTTTGGAACCAGTGGTTTTCACCTCTTCATTGCCTTAATTTTAGTATCCACAAGGATCAAACACAAAATGTTATCTGGCGCATTAAAAACGGTGAATTGGATTATGTCGATCCTAAGGTTTGTTGTTACGTTTCTAATTTTATTATTTTATTTATTTTTTTATAATTCAATGAAAAAAAGGTTAATATATTTGAAATTCATATAATTTTAATTTTAGGTGATAGTAGTACATGTTGGCACTAATAATGTTGAACATACAGCCGAGCAAGTATGTGAAGGCATTTTAGAAATAATAAGAACTATCAGGGAAAAACACCCAAGTGCTTACATTGTGTTACCTGTGAGTATTTAACATGTTTATTATTATTATTATTATGAAAATATACATACTTATAGTTTGGCATATGTAATAAACATAAAAAAACTTGTTATTACAGAGTCTGCTCCCAAGAGGTCAGTATCCTAATGCTTTGAGAGACAAAAATTCAGCAGTAAATCAGCTACTGAAAGAAAAAGTTTCCAATATGAACAAAGTAGAAATGGTGTCTATTGACAAGGGTTTCATTCAGAATGATGGGACAATAAGTCATCATGACATGCACGACTATCTCCTGCCTTCGAATGCTGCCTGTCGAAAGGCTTTTGAGCCAATTTATGACCTCCTACAGCAAATTTTGTCTGAGGGAGAACCCGAAAAAGATCTAACTCCCTCAGAGTAATGAAATGAGTTAGATGGCAGTTAGAAAGGCAGCATGCTCATTGTGATGAAACATTTATTAGTACTTATGTTAGCTTTTGTATCTTAGTCTTAAGTATCTCATGTTTAAATAGTTTTTATATCTTTTACATTCCAAAATTTTTATATTGCAACATTCCCTGATTGGCTGTGCTTTACCGATTTGAAATTGTGTTTTAAATTTTGCAAAAAAATCTTAAGTTTATGAAGTTGAAAAAGACTTGTGTACATTTTACAGGGTTTAGTACTTAAAGGTGGATTATTTCCTAGCCATAATTTAAAGCAATTTGAAGTATATCTTGATCACTCTTACTTTTTTAATTTACTGTTGAACACCTAGTATACCTTTGATTGAGAATATGTAAAATTCTTATTTTTTATCAGGGTTATATATTATTTTCTATTTAATGAAGTGATATTTTGTGCAACACCCTACTGTTATGGAATTGATAGCTACCAAAGATTTTTAAATGTTTCTTACCAAAATGTAAGTTTCTTATCAACACAATATATTACAAGGCATATATTTAAGAAGTTTGGTGTAAACATCACTGACAAGTCAATTACCTTATAAAAACAACACAAATAGCTTTTAAATTGCTGCTCACTAACTTCTTTAGTGTTCGCATATTGTTATAAATCTATTTTTGATACCAACATACACAGTATCATCTTAATTGGGTATAAGATCTTAAGACTTGCAATTTCTGTTTAATTTCGTAAACCAATGCAGCTAGTATTATAAGTTGAAGTTATTGCTTAGAAAGTACATGTGAAATTAGTAACCTTAATTTTACTTGCTAGTGTATTCCTTCCAAGAGTTTGTTAACTATATGTAAGAGTAGTATGGTAGCGACCTTTAGCTCTATGTAGGCGTTCTATTATTTAAGGTACTTTTAGGTACTCCGGTTGCCAAACAAGTTGCTTGAATCTCAATTGTTAAAAAAAATATTTATTTGCATGAACAAGCTTGAGAGTAAAAATTGCAATTTTTTCCTACATCGTTTAATTTTATGGATTTACCACCATGTTTGAGTCTGCCCTCCTTATTACAACTAATGTAATCTACATTTTTAGCGAAATTGAGTTATTAACATAATTATCTGGGATCAGTGAAACGAGATCTACAGAACTACAGGTTTTTTTTTTATAACATTTAGTTTTAGTTTTATTGTTAAAGTTAAATCAGCATAATTTTTTTTTAAGTGCCAATAAAACTTAAGTGCTAATATCTCGAAATGCAAATGCATTATTTATGACAAGGACGGCAGAATTTTTGACATGTCCATTAAATAGTAGAGGGAAACTATGGATGAACAGCATACGCCCACAGCAATGGAGCAGTGCTTATAGTATGACAATTTGGTGAAATTACAGGCACAGGAGACTTATCAATTTAGGTCTCTGTGTGACGGGAGCAGTGGCAGAGCTTTGTGTTTCAAGCTCTGAGTGGCACTGCAACTGTTATGGACAGGCGTGTCGCTTGTCATCAGGCGCACGACTTGTTCATCCCATCACTTGGTATCATTAAAAAAAATAGTTCTTTATTACCTATTGTTGGTTTTGGCTCAGTTATTCTGGTTACAGAGATGAAGGGTTAAGTTACGTTGAGTTGCGGACACCAGCCCGTTACACCAAGTACCAAGTACAGAGATACTCAGTTATTCTGGTTACAGAGATGAAGGGTTATTTAGGCCTGAACAAAGCCATTTCAATAATACTAATAAATAATGGCAAGATGGAATTCAAATTCCTGTGAACCTTTCAATAATAACAGTAAATATAATTTTGTAATAATTTACTTTTTCATAAGTATTTATTCAATGCCTATAATTTTAATAGTAACTATGTTAATATTTGTTGACAAACCTTTTATAATACATAATAAGTGGTAGAGTAGCATTAGCACGTTGCAATGATTTATCAAAAACACTGAAGTTGCTTTTTTGCAGTTTCTTTAAATAGACATCTACTGAAGTTGCTGGCAAGAATATCTGTTTAGCTAATTTAGGTACTTGTATACTTCTTGCCTGAAAAGTAAATAGAACCAATTATTATATTATACACTAGTGTTATCTTATATGAATGAGAAAAATGATCTTATTATTTGTGCCCACTGGTTAAGAACATAAAGGTATATTTTAAACATGGGTATTTTTCCATTGTACCTCAGGATACACTTGCGGTAAGTTAAAATTGTTTTCCCTTTAGTACTAAAATACTGAATACTTTCTAACATACTGAAATATTGTAAATTTTTTGAAACTTACCTTTTCTAAATGACTATTAGCTCTACTAGCAATTTCAAAGACAGCATTCTTCAATTCTTCACTGTCATTGCTTCTTAGAACTGCCTCTTGGCTGACTTTGTTCTTCATCAAAATGTCCATTGGCAAAGATACAATTTTATAACGATTTGCGACTTGTATCGACCTAAGAAACATGTTAGGTATATCTTTCTAAAGAAGTAATAAATATTTCATACGCTTTGAAAATTGGTGTGATTTACATTTCGCTCTTGAAACCAAACAAAGTTGTAACTCAAAAATGGTGATATTGTGAAAACACAATTTGAAAGTTTAAAAAAATACTGAATGGATCTTATTGTGAATAATGTGATTATTTTTATTTAGTTACCCATTATAAACTAGAATATAAATATATTGGTTTCATTCAGTAATTATTTGAACTTTCAAATCATGTTTTCTCAATTCCACAATTTTGAGTTATGACAATATTTAGTTTCATGTGTGATTTAAGAAATCTATAGCACGTTCAGCAATTGAGTTTAGGTCACCTTTACAGCAGGTTTAAAATAATTGCTAAGCCACCTGGCTCCTTTTTTATCGCTTCTCATACATGCAAGTCTCCTTAAAATATATTTTTCGCTAGAAAACATTCTTTTAATTTCTATCCATGTGAAAAATATTTTCAAAATCAAGCTTAGTTTAACAAGCGAATATGTACTTACCGAAGAATATTGGCTAGACCTTGAGCTTTGCCTAAATGAGATGCTGCATGATCGGCATGTACGTCAGTGATCTCAGCAACAGCTAATAGTAAATAATAAATGGAAGAAACAGATTCCTCTGAATATTTTTCTATGTCTTCCAAGGTTTGAAAATATTTTGATTTCAATATGCTGTTCCTTGATGTTATTAATTTCTCAAGATGTCTCTTTGGTAAATTGTAACACTTGCATATCTGAATCCAAAATTATAATTTTTTATGTATTAAATATTCTAAACTAGGCCACTAGAAATTCAGGGATAATAAAATCACGAACATAACAATGACAATGTCAAAATGCTATTTACCTGATATTGGAACTCTAAATTCTGAATTGACCCCACTTTAATATGATGACTGACCATATAAAATATGTATAACAAACTGAAATCTTGGCTTATTTACGTACAGCTAATAAAAAGCAAAATTCACCAAGACTGATCTGTATGGTTTTAAATCTCTTTGCCTTTTCCTTAATGGAAAAAAACAAAAAAACAACAACCTAGATGGTTCAAGTATATGGAAGAGATATGTTAAATTAAAAATGGTATGAGCAGTTCACCTTAAACAGCTCTTTTAATGTAGGATTGGCAGGTATATTATTAATATCTTGGTCTTTTTTGTATATACTTTGGAGTGCATCATTCCAAAATTGCAGTCTAAAGACGGCATTATACTGGTCATTAGTTTGGTCCTGTACTCGCGCCACTTCGACGTTAAAAGCTCGTATAACTAATGCCGGCGTGCGAATCGATTTTGTCATAAGAAGAGTTGCCAGAAAGTTCTCATAATCATGCTGTCTATCTGTAAAGTAAAAACAAAGTACCAGACCACATCAGGCGTACAACTATCAAAGAAAAACGAAGATAACAGCAAAATGAAAATAGCAATAATAAAAAAGTAGTAGACATAAATACCTTACGATGTTTGTGCAATAATCGAGAGCACATTCACTGGAAGCAAGATTTTGTGCAAAGGATCTTGTTATAGTAACTACCTTATATGATTTCTTTAGAGTAATCATATTATTTGCTTGATTTTCCTTTAGAAATGTAAAATTATTTCTTCTAGGTTATAATATTTCATTTGACAATTCGAGTTTCTTTTCTTCTTTCATGGCTTTTCGCGATTAGCGTTTCAGCCACTTACAAAGTGACTGAAAAATTTGACTTGTTCTTGAAATGGAGAAACTTATTTTATCTTCACCCTTTCTCCACCTTCCTAATCCCGTTTCCAATTGGAATATTATAGTGTATGTACTCATGTACATTTTAGAGGATGGAAAGAGTACATATTGACCTACCAATAAAGGTCAATGATGTACTCTTTCCATCCTCTAAGATGTACATGAGTACATACACCGTTCCATCCTCTAAGATGTACATACTCTATTTTTTTCAATCTCTTGACTTTTCGCCATTAGTGTTTCAGTCAGTGTTTTGACTAAACTTGTTCATTGTTATGCATAGCGTCGACATTCGTAGTGATGGGCAAAGGCACAGACAGATTTTGTTATAAAAATGAGAAGTTTAAGAGTAGTGGAAAAATTCAATAAATTCGTTTGTTGTCTGCGATGGAAGTAGAGATAGCACGCACCTATTTCAAGTGGAACAATTCTATTGCAGACTAGTATTTTTTATTGTAATATAACACGAGAAAATGGGCTTGTAAGATCAATGTTGAGGAGGGCTTTATGGAGTTGATGTGATAAATATGAATTCAACAAGTATGGGCCGAGATACATCAGATTTGATGAAAAAGGACTTCAGAAAAGACACTTTCCCAATCGATTCCGTCCATCTCTTCCAGATGGTATCCTCCCACCCACCGACGTTCTACTGCCTCAGAATTGGTATATTCACCCAGTCAAAAAATATAAAACGGCTTTATTAGGGTTATACTCGTATGCAATAATAAAAAATAAATACACGTTATTGTAAAATTAACATAGAGTTATTGGCATTGGTACAGTCAAGAGCACGTCAAGCTTGACACTTTGTACTTTTTACCGTTCTTATCGTAAGCGGCATAGAGTTGGGTTTAAATATTAAGTGTGAAGCTTGACGTGCTCTTGACCTTGTACCAATATAAAATAAATTAAACATTAATGTATTTAATATTGGTGCTTTGTTAACTTATATTCTATTAAATAGAGAAGACCTCGTTAGCATTAATAATTAATGTTAAACTATTATCGGGAGTATTAGCAGAGTACATAATCATAGTCGATTCATCGATTTGGGATTACGTTTCGATCGCGCCCGCAACAGTCCCAGAATGCAATGCGCATCACTACCAATTTTATTCAATTCAATACACTCAATTTGTTTAAGCTAATCTGCTAGTTTGAAAGCAGATTTAGGGTCGTATTCTAGAACTCTACTCACATCCTGACTTGAGCATTGAGTAGAGTTCCAGAATACGACCCCTAAGGGTCGTATTGCAGTTTTTTTAAATTAATTACTCAAGTCCCTGCCATTACGGTCGTATTTCCAGTGCTTGAAATCATACTCAGATCCTGACTTGAGCATTGAGTAGAGTTCTGGAATACGACCCTTAGATCTCTAACATTTTTTCCAAAATCGATCGAGACAAAGCAATTCAGCCTCTTCAGACTATGGAATTTTTTCCATCCTCTAAGGTAGGTATCTGTATTTCCCACATCAGTCAAGGATGATAAGACTTGCAAACACGTTTGATGTTTTTGGTAATACCCCCCACTTACGGAATTCCGCATATCAAAGAAATTAAATCTTGAGAAGGCACTCTTAACTAAATTACCTGAAAAAAAAGTTTTATAGCAGCCGAGCCGTAGCCGATGACTGAGCAGACGTAGCAGAGACATAAAATCAGTAAAAGCATATAAAAGCAGATGAAACTTGTTAGTAGCAATATATCTTTATTCTAATGTGGGATAGAATGCTCGAAAATTTGTGGTATTTTTTTAATACTTACTCTACGCAAAATTGATTCAGTGGTAAAATTACTCGGAAATTGAAATTGATGTAGCAAATTTATAATGTATACTCGTACATTGAATATAGAACAAGCACTAAATTAGGCAAAATGTGACAAACATATGAATCCACACTAGCAACAATTTCTTCCTATGTTGCAATGTAACGGTGCTTTCACTTCCAGGGTTAAAAGTTATTGATAAATAAACAACAAAGGTTTGCCTATTTGGAGATAGTATTTAGATAACATGTATAAATATATTCTATATTTGCAAATACACACTTTCATCATGTTATAGGCTATGGAGCGAGCACGGTGCAATGTCATGTCAAAGGAACTAAAACACAACAAAACATTTTTTTTTTCAATTTGGCTTATTTTTTATTTTGGAAAACTGGTTACAGTTATCAGTCTTAACTAGACATGCTTAAATACAATTCGAATACAATGGAACCTACTAGATGTGAGCACAATATGCGTATAATTTTCACGTAAATCTTCTGAACTAATTTGGATTCTGATAGCCCAATTTCTGTTTATAAACTAAATAAAAAAAACACAAATGAAGAATGTAACTTAGATATTTAAAAACAAAAAAGAAATGCAAAAAAAAGTGTTTGATAACTTACTTTTTTTTTAATAAATTTTACGTATACACCTTTTGGCTGAGGACAAAGAACCCCTGGAAAATATCGAATACATGTATATTTCGAATACACATACAATTATAGTCACTATACATTCTATACAGAAGAGAATGATGACCGAGTTTTATCTTACATGCAGGCAGAGCAAAGGTTTTCCGGTTTTGTAATCGGCTACCTATACGAGAGAGAGAAAACTTGACATGCTCCAAAATATCTGGCGAATCAATGTGACCATGGATTAACTTATATAAAAACATGACCGATGTCTGAAATTTTTCTACGCATATTTATGAAAGAAAGACCGTAATGAATGACACGCGACTGATAAGAGAGAAGCTGCTTACACTTGTTATCAGAGTGCGCCAAATGGTACAAGAATCACTTCTGCACGAGCTACAGTCTATTGCAATAGACCTGGTAACCTGGACTACAATATTCCAGAATACTTTGTATTAAGGAGTTGTAAATAATTACGGTGAGTTGAGGCTCCTTCAGTATTTTCGTCTGTCGAGTCATAGAACTAAACAGAACGTTTTTGTAATGATCGAGTCTATATGATTATATGATTTCTGAAACTAAGGGTCGTATTTCAGAACTGTACTCAATGCTCAAGTCAGGATTTGAGCAGACTAGAGTATGATTTGAAGCACTGAAAATACGACCCTAATGGCAAGGACTTGAGTATGATTTTCAGTGCTCACTGCAATACTCAAGTCCTGACTTCAGTATTGAGTAGAGTTCTGGAATACGACCCAAAGAGCACTGTCTATGATTCACCCAAGTCGCGAATCTGAGTAGCCTCCGTCAAAGGCTTGTCCTGAATAAAAAGTAGATGTGGTTGGATAGGACTTCCTACTAAATTTAATATGAAAACATTTGTTTAAATTAAGTTTCATACCGTTTTAATTACACCAATCATTTATGTTATCCACACCTAACTGTTGATAGATCGGTATATTTTAAAATCATCTGCATACACTTTGAATTTAGATGTAATAATTCTGGCCATGTCGTCAATAAAAATAACGACGAATAAAGGTCCCAAATGGGATCGTCGTGTGATGCCGGAAGGAACACTCCTGGTTATTAATTTATAACCATGTATGGCCACCAACTGAGATCGATTTTTCAGGTATGACTCACACCATCTCCAAATGGATCCGTGAATATCCATCCGTTTCAAGTTTCTGAAGCAGAAGGTTATGGTTTATGAGGTCAAAGGCCTTTTTAAAATCAGTATACATTGCATGTATCTCTCCCCGCTTATCAACCACATCACCGACATAGTCAACATATGCAACTAAATTGGAAGCAGTTGACTTACGAGGTCGAAATCCATGCTGGTCAGCACCCTTAACATGATTATAAATATACTTCTGCAAAGGACTCGAGGACTTTCTCAGCTGTTGATACAAGAGATATTGGCTTATAATTACTTATCACGTCAAGAAGCACACCCTTTAAAAATCGGAGTGAGACACGCAGTCTTCCAAACCGTAGGATATGTTCCCGTACTAAGAGAGACATTAAATATCACACATAAGGGTTCAGATAATCGTTTTGCACAGCTTTTGAACAAAATTGGTGGTAACAAATCGGGCCCTACTGCCTTATTGCAATCTAGAGAGGATAGATATTCTAACACTTCGTTTTGGGATACCGCAAAACTACTCAACGCAGGGATATTATTGCCATCGAGAATGCAACAAACAACAACAACAATAACAACAACAACAACAACCACAACGCACACACTTAACATAGCCCCTCCTAGGGAAACCCTGTGTCGCGGGTGCCATGGACACACACATAGACAACCACAAATTACACCCAAACTCACGAGAGAGATAAATGTATAATATATGTAATATTTTTCTCGAAAAACCTAAAAAATACTTTCGGGATTATGGAACTTTACGCAAACGTTATTTTGGGCAAATGAATTTTCGGTCTTCTGACAACTATTTCTCCCGGCCCGGGAATGGAACCTGGGACCTCTGGGTGGCAGTCCGACATAGTAACGTTCGGCCACGGAGGCAGTTAACACGAGACACGGAGTCTGGGAACATGTATTTTAATTAATTCATATCTATTGAACTTAATCGTTCGGGGTCAAGATCAAAGGTCATATGGACTCGTTGTCTATCAGGTAACAATACTGGCTAAACAAATTGATTCCTGAGGCACATTACTACTTTGACTATATCGTCCAAATATGCATTTTTATTATTACATATCTTGTGAACTGGCTCGTTCGGGGTCAAGGTCAAAGGTCATATGGCTTTGTCACAGACTCTGTAACAACACCTAAAAGTTTCACCCTTACCGAGAGCAAGACCAAAAAAGTTATGAGGAAAACAAATTTCATTTTTCACTTGTCATGCTCTTAAAGTTCGTTTTATGCTGGGTGTAGACTAAT